TTGCAAATCTCACTTTGTTTTAATAAAGATTTCAAGTGATCACAATTTAAAATTTTCTTTTCTACACAACACATGCATCTTTTGGTTTGTCTTATATAGAGATTTTCCTTATTTCCTACATAAGTCTCAGGGAGACATCAAGGAAGTGTTTGGTAACTTTCAAAAATATTTCTCAGAATTTTCACAAAACGAGACAAATTTCTCCATATATTTATTTCGTAAACCGTAAAAACACTTTTAAAACTATGATTTGGTTTCTATCCAAATACCCTCTAAAACAAAAGGTCATATATTAAAAATGGTCAAGCATTGCAACAAGAATACGAGCCTTGAAATTTTCAAGATTAATTTACACAATCAAAAACAAATGAAAATCAACGTTGAGCCTTCAGTTTTCCCTTTCTTTTTTAAACAAAAAAACACATTCAGAAGGCTTGTACTTAAAATCATTAGCCAAGCTTCATCTCATCTTTGCTACTCGAACTATCTCCAGCGGTGCCTTCAGCTGATTTTTCGCACACTTCTTCGGCGGACCTTTTTTTTTTCTTTCCTAAATCAGAATTGAAGCATTGACTAATTCATCCGCATCATGATCGAGTTCGGCAATTCAGTCAATTTATTACTAGGTGAAGAAGTAGAGCCAAAACATGTGTGATGACACTTGTACACAGAGCGAACATCAGCTGGCAAGTCCACGAGTCCCGGGCTTATTTCAGCCTCTTCCTTCAATATTTGATGAGTTCCAGTCTCCCAGAGCTGATTTGTCAGCATTTGTATAATTTCTCAGGCAATGATCATCGAAATTGCAATTCTTGAAAATCTGGCGAAGCTTCTCAACCCCATCAATTTTCTTCTCTTCGTAAAACTTCAGAAATGCAAGGATAACTTCCAGTGAAGGACTCCATCCATCATAGTCCTTGGCTTCTGAAAGAGCTGCCTCTAGGTGATGCACTGCAAGTTCTTCCTTATGTTTCCCCAAGTAGAAGAGTATGAAGTTTTCATGAGTCTTCGTGAAAGGTCCTTTGGCCTCTCTCCTTTTGATGGCCTCTTCAAACACCGATAAGGCTTCTTCACATAGGTCCTGGCTCAAGTAGGCACTGATAACAGCACCCGCTAATCTCATATCATAAGAGATACAATTTGATTTCCACTCCTCAAAGCACTTTGCTAAACCTTCAATATCATTAAGCCTGCGAAGGGATTGAAGCATAGTAAGATAGCTCATGTTAGTCACTGGAGGGACAGATTTGAGGTAATTCCATACCCTGTAAACTTCACCTTGATTACCAATCCCTGCATAAAGACTTAGTAGGAAATGGTAAGCTTCACGCTCCTTCGGTCTTGCTATCTTTTCTACCATCTTAAGCGCAGATTCAGCTTTATCAAAATGTTTAGCCTTTACATAGATAGCAGCAAGGTTGCTATGAGTCAGCCAGTTGATTTTGTCTGCATCTTCCTTTTTCATCTCCTCAAAGACTCTTTCTGCTCCTTCAATATCATTTAAGGAGGCATAGCTATTCATCCAGATATGATATGCAGGAGCAGTCATTGAAATTTTCCTCTGCTTCATGGTATCTATCAGGGGAGGCACCTTCTCAGGTTTGCCCAGTCTCATATATAAACACATGAGATTACTGAAGGGTAGATCGCTAGTGACAAAATTGAGTTCATCCATATTTTCAAAAAGAGCCAGTGCCTTGTCCTCCAGTAAGCCTCTGCAATAGCAATTCAAAAGAGTTCCATACGTAAATCTGCTCTTAGATCGAGGAGGAAGACCACTGAAGTAGCTCTCAGCAGCTGCTACCCCTTTGGTTAAAGACAATAGATCTAAATATAGTGAAAAGTCTGTTGTAGAGAAGGTGATTCCCCTATATTCCATCCATTCCATTATCTGCATTGAAAGAGCACATCAAAGATTCATTATCTGCGGTTCCAAGATATACACAACAATCAACTCAGAGAAGGGGGTAATAATTTATCTTTCAACCGGCTTAGTTATGTCTCCATGAGATCTCATTTACAATGATCAAAATTACCTTCCCCCCCCCCCCCCCCGGTTATTCAGTCAATGAGAGTCATTTACTCTAAGCTTCGGGTTTTCATATCGCCAACGGAAACAGAGGGAGGGGGGGGGGGGCTCAGTTTAAATCTCAAACATGATCACTACCACTTTCACTTCAAACCTCTTGTGAAAAACTCAGAGGCAATGGTAGCATAGGTAATGACCGAACGAGACAGGTAAACATTCGCAGTGGGAACTCAGAGAGGTGAGGGGAAAAAAAAAAAAAAAAGCAGAAGCAGCAACCTCGAGTGCATGACGATATTTACGATACTTTCGAAGCTCTTTAACGCAACGTTGGAGTTCGTCTTTCCTGAGGACTTTGCCCTCCATAATACACTGGTTTAACGTCTGCGAAACGGTCCTTCCTGTCATATCCAGCGCCGACAACTTTCGATAAAGGCTAACTTTCTTTGCCGAACGCTCGGCCTCCGGTTCCGCTAGCTTCGTAGCCGCCGTACACATCTGCCGGAGCAGCCGCTCTCCGCCGGCAATCAAACGTCCACATTTTATCTTCATCGGATTTAGTTAGGGTTTATGATAGCCGTCCGAGAAACAAATTCCCCTCGCCCTCAGCTTGTCTAGTCTTTCTCTGAAGCAGAAGTGCGTTAGTCATCACCGAGTCATTGAAAAATTGAACACTTAAGTTTGTGCATTTAACATCTTGAATTATTTTTTCAGATATATTTAATATTTTAAATTATTTTATGGTGCATCCAGTATTTTAAAATATTTTTTAAGAGCCCCTAACACCTTAAAGTATTTTTTTGTCTTGGCGTTGGATGTACCAAAAAGATTTTTGGACGTTGGAGGTGCCTAAAAAAAAGTTTAAAATACTAGATGCACTAAAAAATATTTTACGGTACTGGACGCACCTAAAACAATAATTCAGAGTGCTAGATGCACCACAAAATATTTTAGGGTGTTGAATGCACCTGTAAAAATATTTCAGGGTGTTGGATACACCTTAACTCTTGAATAATAATTAAAAAAATTATTAGAGCTGATAATATGGATTGAGTTTATGGGCTCAACCTACCAACTCACCAAGAAGTGATAGGTTGGAGTGATAAAAATCAGGTTCAATTTAAAATAAATCTTTTGAGTTTGTAACTGTTAAAACTAAACTCGCAGCGAACTAACTTGCCAGCCCATTTTATTTTATTTAAAATTTTCCTCTCCCTTCAAATATAATTATGTTTACTTCTTTAGTATCTTATCCCATTTTTATTATTTAAAATTACCGTAATGTATATATCTTTCACTTTATATTATGAATTTTATCTGTGGTAAAGTTAGCTGAGCAAAGAGAAGGTGATTTTACTTTTCAAACTCAACCAAATAATTTCACATCTTCAGATTATGCTTCAAATCCTATCAATATTAAATGATGTCTTATGGTTGAACACTTAATAGTGATTGTGACACAGTATTTTTGTCATTGTTGATTTGTATTTGTTATATTTTAATTTGAAATATATGTCTAATCATTTAGGATGATGTATTGTATATGTTTAATATTTTAGAATGTTTGGAACTTTAGATTTCATGTTTTATTTGTAATAATTTCTATTTAGATGTTTTATTTTAAGTATTTAGGACTTGGAATATATTTTATTAAAAGAAAACAAAAAATAAAATAAAATAAGTGGTGATCCCTACTACCAGAAGTTGGTATTTTTAGGACCAGTTTGTCTGTATTATCAGCTTTACCCGCAGTCACATCGTCAACTTTAAATTACTGGAATATCAGGAACTACTTCTCTGATCCTATTTATAAGGCAGCGAGAAAAGATTTTTTTGGATCCTATTTATAAGTCATTTCATTAAATTTTTATCATGAATGTACTATATTGTCCTTTATTTATTATAGTGTAGATAATTATTTTTTTTGAAAGGTGTATATATTAAATAGGGATAAAGTTGGAAAGTTACTATATTTTAATGAAGAGTTAGTACAGTTTTAAAGTTTTTCTTCGTCTACATAAAACATATTAGAAGTACTTTATCAATAGCATCAGATGAGTAAGTTATAACTGAGTCAGATATATAAGGATTGGGTTGTATCAACTTAAATTTGAGAGACCGGTTATAAATGAGTAAAAAATACAAAGATTAAAAGATGAATTTTTTTTCCTTTTCTTTCTTCCCTTTCGAGGCCTTTTCCGTCATCAATTTTTAGGGTAAAATGGTACAATATTCCCAAATATAATTCACTTCTAAAATATTCAAAAATAAAAATATTTAAAAACTTAATTTTATCAATAAATTCAAATAATTTTAATGTTATCTTTATAACTGTATTAAAAATACAATATCATAGTTTTACTTTTTCACTACTTTTATCAAATATGAACATCTATCATGGTAAAAATAATTAAATACAAACATGTATGGAAAAAATATAAAATATTTCTTAAAATTATCAAATGCCTTAGGCCTGCTTGGAATGAGGAAAATGGAAAAAAAAAAAAGAAAGAGAAGGAAAAATTTTAACGAATTTGTTTTTAAAAAACTGAATAAGTTGGGTTGTAAAATTTTGATAAAAAGAAAATATAAGATAAAAAGTAAGAAAATTAAATTAGAAAATCTTAACCCTATTTAAAAATTTTTTTGAAAGCAAGCTTACTAAAATTTTTTCTCATTTTCTCTTCCCTTAATTTCCCTCATACCAAACAGAGCCTTATAAGAAATAAACAGAAACTTGTCCTATAATATAAATAGGTGAGAGCATATTATAAGAAGAAAACTATTGCAATAGTTTTTCTTAAAAGAAATTGATACAATAATTTATAAATATTTTTCATCAAAACACCAATCTTTAAAAAGAAAATAAAGAACTATTTTATTCTCTCAAATACTTTGCAGGAGATTTAGTCAAGACAAATAGAGTTAATTATCTAAAATAAAAAGGGAAGGTAATGGAGGGATGAATTTATCTAAAAACAAAAATAAAAGCCAACGCATATATAATTTGGTTGCATACATCTACTGAATTAGACGTAATTTTGTTCAAACAACGATGGAACACAATATGAAGTTCATGCTATCGTACAATCTTAAAAATGACCTAATATTCCACCACCACCGTTGATATTTAGCAAACGCATTCCGGGGGGGGGGGGGGGGGGAAGGCTTATGGTCAATTTTTCCCTTCCCAGGGGTGTCATCTCATTCCTCTTGTCCCAGATAATATACATTTTCCATCTGTATCCCATTCTTTACATCAACCTCTGCTTCTTTACCTCTGTATCTTGTCGAAAGCCTCGGATGATCTTGGTCATTACTTTTGACGGCGTAAATAATCACGGACATAAGGATGCACCTCCATTTTGACCACCATGTGCATCTTCTTTGAATCTTCCCACAACAAACCGTTCCATTCTCGGGCACAGTCACAGGCACCTTCAAATACATCCTGCCCACAAATGATGCGAAGAATAAGATTTGAAGGGATTATTAAGTATACGAACTCAAAGGATGCTAAATTTCTACCCTTGAAGGGAACTCATCGTAGTAATATGCTTCAGTCATCTCAACTCTGTTCAGATCAGATTCCCAAAGCCTAATCTGTCAAGCCATTCATTAAACTCAGTCAGGCATCAGAAAATATAACTAATACTGCAACAAAAGAATCCACGAAACGTAGAAGTCATAGAACTAAGTTATTTAATCCTACAGCCGATCTCATTTATTGAAAATCAAAACCTGATCGGTGACATTTTCTGGTACAGTTGGTATTCTCTCTGCAACTCTTGGATGAGCATTCTGCTGAAGGAAACTGATTATCTGCCCAAAAAAGAAAAACAGGTTTATCTACAAAGAGATCAATGAGACAAGTTCCTGAAAGCCAACGGTAATTACTTTGGAAGTACAGTGAAAGGGAGCAAAGTAGTAAACAGTACTGCCCATAGGACCCCTCCATTACAATGCACTGCATTTTATGGGGCGGCAAATGAGTTTTAAAGGCATGTCAATCCCATTTCAGTGGCTGTTAACGTATGTCTTGCACAAAAAACCAAGCTTCTAGAAAATAAAAGAAATTCAAGTATTTAGATTTATCACGAACCTTTTCTTTTCGAAAATTTACCATGTTCCCAGAGCAAGACCTTAACAAGAGCTTGGTCCATATGATATTCTAGAATTCTATCAAGAGAATGATGGTACAGGAAACTCAAGGAGTACACAAACTAACATTTTACTGGACATAACTGAGATACTCAGCAAAAAAGTAATAAAATAAAGATACCAACAAATCTAAAGCTTTTTGCTTCGTACAAGGTATACATGACTCCAGAAATGCACAAAAGGCAAAACAATTTTTTTTGGCCAACAAAAGTAAAGAGAATTGAGAAACAACATTTACAACAACAAAATTGTTCATCAGTGAAGGCTCAATCAAGTTATTTGAGGCACACAGAAAGAGTTTGGGGTTTAGGGTCTGAGGTCGCAGATGACCACATGTCAAGCCAGAAAATGACTAGCATGTCAAGTTACCTTCCCAGAATTATACGAGAGTTAACAAAACCGAAACAGAGGGGAAGATATCCAGAGGCCAAAGTGGCATGTGATGGTAAGAAAATATGCCTTCTTATCCATGTCGAGTGAACAATTTTAGGTCCAAACCTACTACTGCCACCCAAACATAAAGGAGACATAGGGGAGTAGCAGAACGGCAGAAAACGGGGGACAAAGAAAACACAAAAGTTGGGAACCATACAAGACAGAAAAGTAGAGGAACAAAACAAGGTAGTCATGATGAAAAGATAGGAAAGAGCAGTTAAAGAGTTGTTGACAAGGGTTATACAGAGCAAAGTTCAGGAAGAAGTAGAGAAGATCTTTGGTCAGGTTTTAGGTGGAGAGAGCCAACCTCTAAAAAGTTAGCAAAATTGTCAGGTCTACGAGGTTCTAGTTCTGCTTTGTTGTGCTGGAAGGGTGTGTTTATTAAGTATTTTAGTGCTTCAGTTGCTCTAGTTAGCTAGTGTTTTGAATATGTAATCTGCGTTTTCTCTCTATCAGTGTCATTTTAAGTATTTTTATGGTTTAATATTCTGTCGCAGAGGTATAATCATTCTGAGTTTTGTAGCTGTATTTGTGGGTTTTCTGGTTGTAATGGGGGTGGATCTCGTCACTGAATTTATTGTAAAAATGTGACAGTAAAACGCAAAACTCAAGTTCCCCAGTCGGCTTAAATTTTGAAAATCAAGTTGCCGAGTTGGTCTAATTTCCCGTTTTGTTGTTGTTGAGTTTGTCATTGGAGAACTTCACTAATCCCTGCATAATTGAAAGGAGATATGATACAGTGAAAATTCTCTACTTGCCTGCTCTGCAGTAATTCCATTTTCAAAAGCATTATACAAGCTTTCTTTTGTAATAGCTCCAACAATAAGATTTGGAAGCTGATACTCTACACTGCACCATCATAAAAGTAATTCAGTAACAGAATCAGATGAAGAAAAGTAGCAATAACTGTGATCTAGATCGATACAGAATTAGCCACCCCAAAAAAAAAAAAAAGAGATCGATACAGAATAATCTAAAATTCTACTGGAGTGTATAGGTGAATGTCTGATTTTATCCTTTCTTTCTGTTTTTTTACACCCTTTACATTTACAATGTCACGAAATAAATTATTTCAGCTATTAGGAAACATCAAGGATAGAGCTGGTATCTTGGGCTTGCCCAATGTTGGGCCAGTCTGAAAAGGTACCCCACTTTTTATTTTATTTTATAATTAATGATTTGGCCAACAGAAATATAAAAGGCAAACAAACAAACAAAATATCATTTCTTTGGTTTAAAAAATAATTTTTTACTTTGTAATTTGTTTCCAAGTGCTCATTTTAATGTTCTTACTCTTATTTTTTTCCTTTAGTTTTATCCTCTTTTGCTTTAGTTTTTTAATATTGCTAATTTCTTTCATTCATTTCTTTACATGTAAAACAAATAATATGACATTTAATAAATTAAGAGATCAAAAAGAAACCAACCAAAGTTATAGCATTAAAAGTATACTTTTACCAATATAATTATGTACCATTACAAGGTATTCGTTCTACTTTTCTTTATGGGATAAGGTGCTTAAATATTATAGAAGTATTTATGAAGAAGTCCCCGGTAGTTGAAAGTTTTTTTTTTTTTTTTCCCTCGCTCTTATATGCACCGAAAGTTTCATTTTGTAGCATTTATGCCTTAAATTGTTGTTCGTCACTAAGTTTGATTATTAAAAACACTAGTCAAACCACATAATTTAACGGCCAAACTTAATTGCGGATAATGACCAACATATGGCACATAATAGCAAAAAAAACTTCTAGGTGCTAGGTGCTCCTTTGTGAATATTTCTGAGATATTTAAGCGCCCTATCCTTTTATTTATTGAAAGATGCTTGACTATTGAAAAGAAACCCATCAAAGTTAAAGGATAAAGTTTTGCCCATTAATTAGGGCATTGGACTGTTGGATCTTAGCTATTCGGAAAAAAAGATATTCATTTTACACAAAAAAATTTTGGGAAAACTGAAGAGCAAGAGCAAAGTCAAAAAGCCATCATAAGGTCTGAAAGAAAGGATCAAGGATGTTGGATAAAGGCCTTATATAACAAAATGTGGTTTAGCGGGAACCAAACCAGCTGAACATCAGTTGAAGAGAAAGTCCATATGTAAGGCAAATGCCAATAGTCAAAGCATTAAATGCTCCCATATTTTAAAAATATTTATGCTACTTAACTTACAATTTTTTCAAAAAAAAAAAAGAAGAAGCAATGCTCTAATTTTGCATGTAACATGCAAAACAATAGACCATGCTATAATAGAAGAAAATTAAGCTGAAGTTCCCAAAACTTCAGCAAAAGAAAGTACAATCACAACTTCAACCTTCATTTAATGAGAAAACCAATGATAGATGAATTCTAGTTCATACATGATACAACACACTACCTCATGTTTCAGCACAAAATTGCTAACAGCAATAAAAAACGAGACAGCACTTAGAAGAACAAATGATTGACAGAAACTTAAGGAAGTGTTTGGTGGCATACCTTGAGAAAAGCCGTAATATTTCACAGTGCAATTTTGAAGTTGAGTAAGCATAAACTCGGAAATTGGTTTCTACCACCACAAAGCCCTGAAAGAGTTAAAAAAGAATGGAATTAGAATTTATCTTTCAAAATCTCCTTAGTTAATTGAATGAAGCGCCCAAAATTTTTCCTAACATTACAACACAAATGAGGGAAAATTGTGAACTTTTGAAATTTCCTTCAGATCAGTGGAACTTATGATTATAACAAATTAGCTACTGCAAATGGCTCCCTAACTCTCTGTATCTGTTAAAAGGAGTGAAACTATGTATTCAAGCATGGCCATTTAAAGAATTTTCTATAAAACAAGTCCATATAATTAAATGAATTTAAAAGAAGCAACCTGCTTTCTAGATGATGAATCAGCCAAGCTCACTGAAAGATTGGTAGCCAATTTAGTAGGTATAAACCAACTTTCTTTCCTGCCCTATAGGAAAGAATGGAAAAGGAAGACACATTAGTTAAAGTCAGCATCAAACTCATCATCTGCATCAAAATAAGGACAGAAATGTTATAACCTGCTGTAGTTTGACTAATCCCAGATCTGCAAGGTCCTTGATTATGTTCCTTTGGAAATCAGTCAGTGTGTTTATATTATATGCCTAATACATAGGAAACCACCAACACTGTCAAAGTCATATGGCATTTAAACGTAAAAATACTTTAGCGAGACATAAATATAAAGAAAAAGGAAAGAGAAGGTCTAAAACACTGCAGCTAAAACAGTTAATACAGAATAGTGCAAGTTCTTATTTCACACACCAAGGAGATTGTCTTACCTCGCCTATTACATGAAAACTAAGCTCCAGCAAAAAAGAAATCAATTCAGCAGCATCAACACCTCGTGCCTGCATAGAATAGATGACATGGAGCCAATAGGAAACAAATGATAAAGACATCAGAAACATAAAATCAGGGTTGAAGAGCAAGTTCTTGCCATCTAATAGGACTGGTTTTTTGAGCCAACAAATTAACTCACAATTAAATACCTCAGAATTAGATATATATTCTCTGATGATGTACCAAAGCTGTGCATTTGTATCCATAAGCTGTAGTTTACATGGATGATGCATGTCATTAGGGAGAACCATGTCATTAAGTGTGAAAGGATTACAAATCATTTGATACATACCAAAAATTGAAATCCACTTTCAGTTAATCTGGGAGCTTCTTTATCTCTACATTGGTACGCACAAGACATAAAGTAATGTTAGCAATACCCTTGTATACCCGCTGAAGTGTTAGAAATGAAAAATATATAGCAAGTAAACAAAACCTTTGTCTCATAAGATGCCGCTGGAAAAGTTTCATTAAAGAAGAGCTGATGTTTGAAGGCCTTTCAACTTGATTTGAGCTTATAAGTTGCAACAAGAAACACTGATTTATCACAGAATTAAGATAAAGAGTTAGGGCTAATTTTAGTCAGATAAAATTATAGGAAATCAATTGTATTACATTGTTTCAATGACTAGTGTCACAAAATAGTAGCAAGAATGAAAATTTAAATAGAAGAAAGAGATGGGAATAAAAAGGATTAAACATCGCACCTCCCATTGTTCTAGGGCATAAGCCTCAAGATCTTCTAAGGTTGGGAGCCTCACAGTTATATTAGAAGGCATTGGTTCCCGTGGCAAAGTTCCACTGCCAAATTAATTAAAGCAGATCTTGAATCCATAACATGACTGCAATTACATAAATACATACACACAAATAACTTCCTTTCTTTTAACATATCCAGGAGTGAATGAGGAACCATAAACGGTCATTTCATTTCATGGAGACAGCCTACCATCTATTTAAGTGAATTTGTATATTACACAATGAATGGTTACATCCTATCACCTAAATTATTTCCATCCTACATGATGTTGTCTATGCTAAGAACGGCAAGAAACCATTTGAGCAACTCACCCATTTATTAAGAGATTCTGGAGACTTCTCTGAAATGTTGCATTGAGTTTGTAATTCTTTTCACTCTTCCTGCCAATAAGAGGAAAGAATGACTGCAGTGAAAGATCAGCCTAAGCCTCAAATTTATCAGACAACATCCCTTGACTATGATGACAAACTTGATGACAGTATCTAAAGCACAGAGACACACACACACATATGAAGAATAATACATGTGATCAAGAGAAATGGATTATAGACTGACATGAATTCATCATAATTTGGAGTAATGAAACTAAAAGAACGAGCAAACAATATTAAGTGGTTATAGTTTTATACTATTCACAATTAACAAGGCAATTTTTGTATCCTTGATCAATCACCACCTCTCAACCAAGAGGTGCAGGTTGACGAGGGAAGTTAGGTTGTTTTTCTGCTTTGCTTTGCTGTAGTCTTTCTTTTGAATATATAGTATACAGTTTTTCATTGGGGGGAAGAAAAAGAAAAGAAATTGGTGCTTATAGCGCCCCCCCCCCAAAAAAAAGAATAAGAAATAAGAAATTGGTAACACAGCCACATAGGCAAGCGTTGCAGCATAAAGAAGGGACCAGAAGAAAAAAATTACATGCCAATCCCAGAGCATGTGATCTATCAAGTAAACAAACTTCCATGGAATTTGTATTCTCGATCAGGATAAAAGCATAAAACAAACTTCAATCCCAATATCACAAAGATCTTTAAATACATTTTCATGTGGAATGTTCATGCTAAGGGACTGCATTCCGCGAATTAATATCCTTGTGTCTCCATGACTGTCGCTGGAATGAAATTAACCACTTGGAACCATGCAGAAGCTTGAACTTAAATATTGCAGTTAAATTTTGAGAGTAGATAAATATGTACCTATCAACAGTTTCAATAAAAACTCTCAGTTGAACCAATCTATCTATTGCTACTCTATGTTTTGAAGTTCCATCCGGGAGCACCCACTCCTCCATTGATTTAGCTGTCACCTGAGCATCAATGTAAAGCATTTGCAAGACATATTTTTTGGCCAGAGGTGGTAGAGACCTGATATTTTAACAGACATTTGGTTAAGATACAAAGCTAATACTCAATAAACTAAAACAAATACCATTCAAGCAGCCTAGTTAATGCTGAATATGCATCAAACAACCCAAGGTGAGTTCACAATAGGGGTACCATGAAGTTATTGACACTTTGCATCCCAGAAAACAATCTTAAAAATTAGCAAAGAATCTTGATAGGGCGAAACAGAAAGGCTTGTTAAATGCATGTACAGTATCTTAAAAATTAGGCTTATCATAATTGATACAATATAAGCTAGAAATTACCCATAACCCGGGCTATTGAAGTTTCCATTCCACTTAAAAACTAGACAGAAATTGACCTGAGAATAGCTTCACAGATGAACCCATTTTCATAGAGTTTATCCAGCTTCATGGCAGGCATAGAAGCGACCATGTCCATAAAATTTTTTGCAATGATCCTGACCTCTGGCATTCTGACACCAATCCCTTATTATTCTCTACTTCCTCTGCTTTTATTGGATTCTGATCAATGTTATTCTCACACAGAGCTTAAAGAATCAAGACAAAATCCGAGATTTCAGTTCTTGCATAATTTCACAGCATCCGATCAGCACAACTCACAACTGCAACTTGCACCACAGATGATTTGCTCTTGCCTTGCTTACTTCAATTAAATAACCAAGAGGGAAATCCTAATCCTATGTACAAAAAAAAAAAAAAGAGCACGGTTCTAATGCGTTATATGCTGGTCAAATCCCACTTCAACGATTTTTGCACTGTAAACGAAAAAGGATTTCACCCAGTGATAATGGAGGCTCAGGGTCTTCAACAATGGAGCCGCAAAGCTCTTCAACTGATGGACAAGAGACAGCAATACGTGCTTGGTTGAGTGACAAAAGAAATCGAGTAAAATCGTGCATTGGTGTGAGAGAAACAGCGTTGGAGGAGGGGATTCGACGACAGCTAGAGAAGCCAGGCACTTCACCAAAAGCACATTTGGAACACGCGAAATCAGTCTCAGAATCAAGGGTATAACTGTAGAACTCCTTCAACTGGCGCTCGTCGCTTCCATGGATTCACCAAATGATCCAAAGATTGAAGAGAGAACGATGCGGGGCCACTCCACCAGTCCACTGTCCATTCCCCACCCCCCAAAAAAAAACACACCCTTTGGGCCACAAGAAGCCGGTCTGCATTAGCGTGAGGTTTAGGGTTTATTCTCTCGGATCTAAAATGGATCCAACAGCAAACTAACCGGCGTTCCAATCGTGATGGGAATTTGGAACATATGACATTCTGCCGACTTTCAAAGCCCAATTTTATGCCAGGCCTCCATCGTTATGTAATACTTCCTTTTCTTTTCTTTTTTCTTTTTAATTTCCCCAGCCATTATGTAATACTCCTATGGCAAATTTGGGCCGTGAATGAGTATCTTGTTTGGTCTTTAATATAAATTATTTTATTAAATTTATTATATTAATGTATAATTTCACTCAATTTATTATTTTATATTATGTTATTTTCTTTAAAATATATATTAAATAAATATAAAATCAGAAATTTATTAAATTTTAAAACATACTTAATGAAATTTAGAATATTCCTTGATTGCAGTGATACATAGAATAGAAAAGGATTAGTTTGATAACTGAAAAAAATAAAATAAAATAAAAGAGTTGGAAAGGATTATGTTTAGACGGACACATAAGATGATACAAACATAAGAAATTGAGTTAGCATCAAATTAAAAGTCAATTATGAAATCAAAATTATAACAACAAAATGACAAAATCAAACAATTTTTTAATTAGAACCAGCACTCAACTAACACAATATTCAATACTATATAAAAAATACTATTCAATATTCTATTATAATAAGCTATACAATTTCACATTATATTGCAGTTCCATTTTTTTAAATTTATGCCGCACTTAATTTGAGTATTTATTTAATTATATATATAATTTTGTGGTCTTTTATTTTAGGGGTGTCTGAATATCCCAATAATCACTTTTCAGAAATACTTTTCTGTAAATCGAGACAAATTCCTCTATATAAAAGCACTTCTAAAATCATGATTTTGATATTATTCAAACACCCCTTTTATTTGTTTTTAGTTTCCTCTATATGAAAATAAAATTAGGTGCGCTCAGTGTATCTTCTTGTCGAAATAAAACAATTACCATCAAGGTGGCAGACAGGACAACCAGCCACGTCGTTCGCATAACAACGCCCGCAGTAGAAAATATGATTATTAATGTTGACCAAAAAAATAATCATGATATGAATCATGACCATGTTTATCTTATTACTGTAAAGCGAGCCGTGAATTAAATTATTACTTAGTAATGCGATTACGAGGATCTTACACTATCTATGGAATCTTTTGTCTCTGCTGGGCTGCTTCCTGCTCAAACCATATAATCAGAGCCAAGCGATCACTGCTTCTCCGCTTCAGAGTTCATTGTCATCCGTGGTAATGGATTATCTTCTCTGGAAGCTTTTGCCTCTATTAGCACTTCTCGTCTCCTTCGTAGCCTTCTTTTTCTTACAGGATTCCTACGTGGCCCACTTGATTCAGTTGAAAAAGGTTCACTTTCTGCTCATCTTCTCTTATCCTTTTTTATTTATTTGTATACACTATCATTGCAGGATGGGATATCTTGCTTTTGAGCAAAATCGCGACTTCTTTAGAGTTAGGAGTGAACTTGTGATATTTCCTTTTTAGCTATTTTGACGGGTCAAAACTTTGGCTTTACAATATCATTTTTTTCATCACTATGGTCTGAAACTGTTAAATTGAGTGTTGAGTTTCTCTACATTAGAGGTAGAATGTCTATTTTGTTGTTCTGGGGTTGAATTATGTTGCTGTTCTTGTAACAGCCACGCCGTGAAGAGTGTAGCTTTCATCCCTATCGCCATTACTGGATATCCAGCAAACGTATTGTGACCCCACAAGGGGTTATTTCTGGTTCAGGTTATTGGTTTCCCTTGATCCCGTGAATATCCTTTTGATAATTATATTTTGATTTTTAGGTGATGTTAAAGTTCTAAAATATATATTTATGTTTTCCCTGATGCTGTGTCTTATGACAAGGATATGTTTTTCTAATCACTAATCAGGATTTACTGTGGGATCATTAACCTTTATGAATTTGCCAATGAACTTATAAACCATAATTTTGTATTTTGTTTCAACAGATGCTTTTTAAGAACCAAAGATGAATACAGAATATGAAGATAAATGGTCTTCTGAAAGAAGAGATAAACAAGAAGAGAAAGCAGGAGAAATTTTTTTTTTTTTTTTGAACTTTCTGTGCTGTGCTTCTGTACATATTTAATAAATAAACTCCCCTAATGAATTCATGAGCAGAAATCTTCATATATAGAAGCAAGGAAAATTATGCTACCCCTTTGAAGATGCATTGTTAAGAACATCTGGCTTAACATTCTAGCATTTGGCTCTGATCAAATTCAAGCAGCATGTATATAGAACTGCAACATTTTCTACTTTTGTTCTGCTAATACCATAAATACAAGTAAAGGAAAACACTCCTGACTTGCATGAACAAATCCAATGGTCCCAGAATGCAGAATCTAAATAATGATGTTCATTCAGTTCAATGCAAAAAGAGATGGAAAGCAACATTCAAGCTAAGCATTGACATAATGTTGGGGGATAATCTGGCCTAGAAACTGGTAAATTTGTAAATTTCTCAGATCTTTTGTGTAAATCCTTTTAAATCACAACCATTTTGGGGAAAACGGTGACTCTTCGCCAGCTTTCTTTTCTTTTCTTCTTTATTATAAATTACTCTTGACTAGCTATTGTTATTGTAATTCTGAATCTTTCATGGAATTATGATTTTTCACTTATGCTGATTGATTTCCTTTGCAAAATGGTTCAATGAAACAGTGGAGATAAATGAAGGGAAGATTGCGTCCATTGTTAAAGGAGACAGTAAGCAAGGAAATCATATGCATCAACAAGTAATTGACTATCGAGATGCTGTGGTTATGCCTGGCCTAATTGATGTGTAAGATGTGCATGTTGGCCCCTCGTGGGTTATTTATTTTTTATTCAGTTCTAGTAGATACAACAACAACAATAACAAGCCTTATCCCACTAGGTGGGGTCGGCTACATGAATCACACGATACTATCGTGCTCTGTCAACAACCCAGTCCTTAGATATGTTGTTGACTAAGAGGTCTCGTTCAATGACCTCATTAAGCGTTCTTCTTGGTCTTCCTCTGTTCCTTTTTATGGGACTCCATCTTGTCTGATCCACCCTCCTCACCGTGGCCTCCAATGGCCTTCTCTGCACATGTCCAAACCATCTAAAGCAATTTTCAACCATTTTCTCTTGAATAGGTACCACACCGACTCTTGCTTTGATATTTTCATTTCGAATCCTATCTTTTCTTGTATGACCACACATCCATCTCAATATCCTCATTTCTGCTACCCCAACTTTGTGCTCTTGTTTTCCCTTTATTGCCCAACATTCACTACCATTCAACATAGCCGGTCTTATAGCAGTCCGATAAAATTTTCTTTAAGTTTCTCAGGTATCTTTTTATCGCAAATAACTTCGGTAGCTTTCCTCCACTTTAACCAGCCAGTTTGTATTCTATGAGAAACGTCTCCATCAATTTTCCCATCCTCCTGTATAATGCATCCTAGGTATTTAAACTTTGATACTTGAGGAATGATTTGCTCCCCCATCTTCACCTCCAAATCCCCATTGCCTTGCCCCCCCCAAAATCACAATGCATATATTCTGTTTTGTTCCTGCTCAAGCGGAAACCTTTCGACTCCAACGTCCTTCTCCATAACTCCAATTAGTGTTAATCTCTTCTTTTGATTCTGCCATGAGAACTATATCATCCGCGAAAAGCATGGACTTAGGGATTCTTTCTTGAATAGGTTCAGTTAGAACATCCAGAACAATGTTGAACAAGTACGGACTCAAAGAGGATCCCTGATGTAGGCCAATCTGAATAGGGAAGTCTTTTGTCTCACCTCCAGGCGTCCTTACACTGGTAGTTACCCCCTCATACATATCTTGTATGGCTTTGATATAAGCAACCCGTACACTTTTTTTTTCTAAAGCCTTCCACATTACTTCTCTTGGCACATGATCGTAAGCCTTTTCCAGGTCAATAAAGACCATATGTAAATCCCTTCTTTTACTTCTATATCTTTCCATTAACCCTCTTAGTAAATAGATTGCTTCTGAAGTGGATTTCCCTGGCATAAATCCAAATTGGTTTTCTAAAATAGAAGTCTCCAGCCTCAACCTATATTCCATCACTTTTTCCCACAACTTCATTGTATGACTCATAAGTTTTATCCTTCTGTAGCTTGCACAGTTTTGAATGTCTCCTTTATTCTTGTAAATAGAAACTAAAATGCTTCTCCTCCACTCATCCGGCATATTCTTAGAGCGTAAAATTTCATTAAAAAGCTTGGTTAGCCACACCTCACCCTCATCTCCCAAACATTTCCAAACTTCAATAGGGATACCATCAGGCCCAACGGCTTTTCCATTGTCCATTTTCTTGAGAGCTGCCTTAACCTCTCCGATACGGATCCTGCGGTAGAAAGCCAAATTCTGATCATCTTCGTTAATTAGCAAGTCCTGTAAGTCCTGAGTCGCATAATTGCTTCCCTCATTAAACAACTTGTAAAAATAAGCCTCCCATCTGTCCTTAATATCACCATCAGTAACTAACACTTTACCATCTTCATCCTTTATACACTTTACTTGGTCCAAATCTCTCTTTTTCCTCTCCCTTTGCTTCGCAATCTTGTAAATATTTCTTTCTCCCGTCTTTGTTCCTAACTTCTGATAAAACCCTTCATAAGCTTTAATACGTGCTTCGCTCACTGCTTTATTCGTCTCTTTTTTAGCCAACTGATACTTTTCCCGGTTTTCTACACTATTGCACAAGTGTATGGCCTTAAAACAATCTCTTTTTTGTTTGACTTTCTCTTGCACACTCTTATCCCACCACCAAGTCTCCTTATCTCTCTGACCAGGACCTTTGGATTCTCTCAAAATTTCTTTACCTACCAAACGAACCCTTGTAGCTATCTCTTCCCACATCATGTTTGCATTTTCCTGCGACTCCCAAATCCCTTCCTCCACAAGGGTCCTTTTGAATAACTCTCGTTTCTCACCCTTTAACTGCCACCACCTAACCCTGGGTTTTACCACTTGATGGTACTTTTGCCTGGTACTTTTAAAACGTACATCAAGAATAAGTACTCTATGTTGGGCAGTCACCCCATCTCCTGGAATCACTTTGCAATTAGTACACAATCTTCTGTCTGGATTCTTAACCAAAAAGAAATCAATCTGTGATTTTGAGACACCACTTTTGTACGTGATTAAATGCTCCTCTCGCTTCTTAAAACAAGTGTTGACAATCTTAAGATTATATGCAAGAGAAAAGTCGAGAATAGATTGTCCTCCACTATTAAGCTCCCCAAAACCAAAACCACCATGGGCCTCGCTGAATTGTCCTGCTTCCTTACCGACATGTCCATTAAGGTCCCACCGATAAAATTTTTTTCTTCGAGTGGTATGCTTTGAACCAACCCCTCCATATCTTCCCAGAACTTATCTTTAAGGTGTGTCTTTGCCCCAACCTGAGGTGCATAGACACTAATGATATTGATAGTATCTTTTCCAACAATTATTCTTAACGATATTATTCTGTCCTCAAACCTTTTAACCTCTACCATGTTTCTTTTCCATGTTCCATCAACGATGATACCAACCCCATTCCTTGCACTCACCTTTCCTGTATACCAAAGTTTATACTCTCCAAGTTCCTTGGCAGCTTCTCCAGTCCATTTGGTTTCTTGGAGGCACAAGATATTAATCCTTCTGTCCCTCATAACTCCTGCTACTTCTATAGATTTCTCATTCAGCGTCCCAATATTCCAAGTGCCAAATCTAATCTCAGTCTCATGAGCTAACTTCTTTAGCTGCCTCCGTCCAAGAGAGTGTGGTAGCCCTCACTCATTTAACACTACATCCGGGCGACGATGCAGCGGCTCTAGTTCATTTCTCACTGTACTCGAGCCATACAGCGCGTCACTTCTGGGTAACGACCTAGCATTAGCGTAATTACTTCGTTGATCCATGTTCATGAAATTCGACGGGTTTTTACGTTGGCTGTCGAGGGCCTAACACAACCCTCCTCCTTTATCCGGGCTTGGGACCGACTATACAATATAGGCGGAGTTATTCAGTTCTAGTAGATAAACACTGTTATTTATTTAACGATGAATACTCATTGATTTATTATGAAAATGGTTCTAAATATCAATGAAGAGGAAATATGGAGAAACCTGTTGAAAGCTGGGTTGAATGTTAATACAATAACTTCATCGTTCACATGTAGACCTTTTTGGGGGATAAAAATTGAGTTTAACTACTCGAATGTTCTCACATATAACATTTTTTTTCACTCGTTGATCACGTGCTAGAAGAACTTATATGACTTAGAATTAAGTGGAAAACACAGTTGCCAAGCTATACGATGCTGTTTCGAATTTTCAGTAATGTTTACAGCATACATTAAAAGTGGAGTTTATGAACAATAGTGATGGAGAAATAAGTATAAAGTGTTTTCATATCCTTGGTCTGTTTATCTAATTGGCTTCTAAATAAAAAGTACAAAGGTTATCCAGCACAAACTGCACCTTTTTAAAATTTTTGGGGCCAAAACCACAACCTAGTTGAAATAAAGGAAATAGAAACTAGCATCTGACAGCATAATCTATTGATGCCGGAAATGCTTATAGTTCTCATACTAAACCGGGTTGGTGCTATTTCCCCTCCACTGTTAAGGAAGACGGATTTTCTTTGATTTTAGTACCAAATAAGTACTGATAGCGTGTGACACAAATGTGAAACGGCTAATTTTTGGGTTAACATGTTTTTACTAGTGAAGGGAACAAATGTATTGTGAGAGAATTATGACTGCTTAATTCAGTCAAATCGATTCTTTTCTCAAAATCAGTGCAATCTTGTGTGCTTTTCTGATGGAGTGCAATATTAGGGGCAGTTTACAAATTAGTTATTTTCAGTTATTTTTAATATTCAATTTTAGGTGGTTATATTCAGTTATCCTTTCAGAGTATTACAGTGGGATTATTTAAATATTAGTTATTGTTAGTTATTGATGATCCTTATCCTAGAATGTAGGAGGTTATTAGGAAGTTATTAGTCAGTTATTCTCAGTTATGTTTTCAGCCTATTTAAATCTATTGTACGATGACATTAGGTGTGAATGAAGTTTATTATTCAGGAATTTCCATCTTCTTCTCTCCTAGCATTTCAAACACTGATTCTAGGCTCTCTCTCTCTCTCACACACACACATCTCTCTTCTACCTTCTCATCTCTTCTTTCCCCTCTCTTCCCTTCTATCTCCCAATTCTTATTCTCTCTTTTGCAAAACCTAACATTTTCACTTGTACTTTATAGTGATTTCGGAATAGTTTCTCATGGGGCCTTCTTTCAATTGTCTAAATTTTACTTTTGGCAGACATGTTCATCTTGATGATCCAGGAAGAACTGAATGGGAAGGATTTTTTACTGGGACAAGAGCTGCTGCTGCTGGTGTGCAGATTCTCTTCATCTATTAAGCATTATTCTTTTAAGAACATTGAGATGATAAAGTTGTCACTAAGATTAAAAATAGGGCAAATAATATAATATTGTATCATTATGAGTCCTTAGCTGATTTTAATGGACTTCTCCAATGATTTTTTTCCTGTGCTCTTGATGGGTAGTGGTTATCTGAATGTGACTAATATTGTAACTGTTTCTTGATTTTTCCCTTATGGTATCATTGATATGTATAGCTTAGACATATGCTCTCACTTTGTGTCTAAAGGTGGTGTAACAACAGTGGTTGACATGCCTCTAAATAATCACCCAACAACAGTTTCTAAGGATACGCTGAAACTTAAGGTATCTTTGAACAATTTTATTTCTCTCATTTTGATTTTTAAAATATTTGATAAGAAAATTTATGGAGGTAAAAGCATTTCGTCACTTATTTTTTGATGAACCATTCACATCAAAGAGAGCAAGCACAGTTCCTTCCAGATGCATTAATTGACATCCTTGAGGTGTTTAATATTCTAATATCTGGTAAAGCTTTTTTTTTATTTTATGCTGTTGAATTTAAATCCCCGGTGATTAACTGTCAAATTTTTGTGATTTCTCTTTCCTTAACATTGCGTTCAATTTCTTGGTTACAGCTTGAGGCTGCTAAGAAGAAACTCCATGTTGATGTTGGTATGAATGACAAACTATACTTAGGCATGCAAGTGATGGAGTTTCTGAAAAAGTACAATCAATGGAGTTTCTGAAAAAGTTTGGCATTGACAGGTTTCTGGGGAGGTCTAGTCCCTGAAAATGCACTTAATACGAGTATTTTGGAAGGTCTCTTGAGTGCTGGAGTTCTTGGGGTCAAGGTAATGTTCAAAAACCTATTCATTATTACTATAATTCTGTACAGAGGCCAAGAAAATGTTCATAATGTTTAGTACTATTATGTCTTATGTTGGAAGCTGTTTCATCCTGCTCCTTGATTTTGGCACCTACCATCATTGTTTCAAATTTAAAAACTATGTCAAGTGGTTCAGCTTCCCTCCTTAGTTGCACCTCTCGTTTACTTCAAATATGAGAAATAAATGATATTTGTACTGCTGTTTTCCTTGCCTTCTTTCAATAGGTATGATAATGGCTGCTATATTTTGGTCTGACCTGTTCGTCTTTTTTGTGTTTGTACTTTATAGTCTTTCATGTGTCCTTCAGGGATTGATGACTTTCCTATGACAACTATTGATCACATCAAGGTACGTTCCTTTTAAAAATTATAAAAATAATAGAAGTAAATTATAGATTACATCGATTCATTGTAATTCCTCACATTTGTATGCATTCTCTTTTCCTGTTTCCTCATCAAGTAATATGGTTTTGAATTGTAGCTTTGGTTGATATCCTGTTGTCCACTTGCATAGGCACTCGCTTTTATATCATCAATAATTCTCCTAGTTAGTAGTATGAAGTTCCTTTTCCTTTGCCGGATTGTATAATACAATTGTTATGATAATTTGCTTGGTAGGAGGGACTGCCTGTGTTGGCCAAGTATAGAAGACCTTTACTTGTGCATGCTGAGATTCAACTAAATTCAGGACATAATTTGGAACTCAAAGATGATGATGATCCTCGTCATTACTCAACCTATCTCAAGACTAGGCCACCTTCATGGTAGGACACTAGTTATGGCCTTGTATTCTGAAGAAATGAGCTTTAGAATCAGAATAAAAATATTTTCCATGATAAATAGAATTTTTTTCTGTGGACAATAAATTGGTTACTTTTTCAATTAAACGGATAAGCCTGTTCTTAATTTTTCAGGATTAATAATAGCTCTTTTTTTGGACCAAAATGATTAGTTCTCATTTTTACGAAATTGTGATTAAGGCATTGACTGAAATTGGTCATGAGCCCTCCCCAGTGAGAAATCATCTGCGGTTGCATAGCTCAACTCTTACAGTTAAAAAGATAAGAAGGATGCCTGTGACCTAGTTTAGGACTCGTTGTTGAATATTCTATCTTTGAATTGCAAACTACTACTAATAAATACAGTATCTGTTGAGTGTTGTTTTTCCATGACTTAAGTCCATCAAAAATTTTGGATGGCCATACTATCATATATGTTGGCTCGGCTCACTGCCTATTAAATTTCTGCTGAATCACGCATCTTCATCTTCACTTCTGAACCAGGGAGCAGGCAGCTATTAGAGAACTTGTGGGTGTTACAAAGGATACTGGAAGTGGTGGTCGTTTAGAAGGAGCACATATTCATATTGTTCACTTGTCTGATTCAAGTGCTTCCTTAGATATGATTAAGGTAATATATGCTTTTTCGTGGAGATATACCCGTTCCAAATCAATACTTCTGTGTGTGCGCCCCTTTCTAGTAATTAAAAGGTAAAATCCCATTAACAGCTATAACCTTGATAAATCCCAAGCATAAATGTCAGTAAACTTATTCATGATAATTGCTGTTGTGTAAATGAATCCTACAAAATGCCAGTTAATTGATACGATAATGATCTTGTTCACATTTAAATTGTTTGTTCTCCTTTTGCTTGTTAAAAGAACTTGTCAAACTTCCCACACCGTAGTAGAGTGTATCGTCACACATTGGTACTCTACAGGAAGCAAAACGTAGAGGTGACAGCATTAGCGTTGAGACATGCTCGCATTACTTAGCTTTCTCATCTGAAGAGATAAAAGATGGAGATACTCGTTTTAAGTGTTCCCCACCTATCCGTGGTGCATCCAATGGAGAAAAATTATGGGAGGCTTTGCTGGTAATTTCTTCTCCACGTTACAGATTAATATCTTACATTCTTACATTTTATCCATGATCTCATTAGCCTTAATTGTCTTATTTTTCATTATAGGAAGGAGACATTGACTTTTTAACTTCTGATCATTCACCAACAGTACCAGAACTCAAGCTTCTTGATGAGGGTAACTTCTTGAAGGCTTGGGGTGGCATATCATCTTTGCAGGTTTGTCACTTTGTCTGCTTATTGATAATTTGGATTGTTATATCTTTTTCCATACAGCGATATTAAAAATGAATTGGACATCTTCAAACTGGTAGTTGAATGGATAAGACGTTCACCCCTATGCAGCTATGCCCTTTAAATGAAATCGAAAGGATGTCTGCACTTCAGTAAACAATGTGGTACACCTCAGTCCTCAAGTCATTAACGAAAAAATGCTCAACTGATCTATTGGATCTTTATGCTTGATCTTGAAATTGATGAAGAGCAGAAAAGTGAGTTTTTATGCTAGTTGAATGTGAATTTCTGAGATTTGTGAATTAGAACCACCATTTCTTAGTTATTTATATTTACTTTACGCTTGTTTTCGGTTTATTTATGCATTCATTAATTATTAATTCAGTAGTTCGGTTGTATGATTGGGTATTTTCTACCATGCTACATCATATATTTTTCTGTTTTTGGTTAGAGGGGGGCAAGTTGTACAAGTGCCTTATAGTTATAAGCCGGCTTTCTGTTTTTTATTTTGTCTACTTTGAGAATATCTTATCCTTCTTACTTGTAACATTGTCCTTCCTCTATAACAAAATCATTCTTTTTCCCCCAAAAAAAAAAAAACAAGTAAACCATTGATAATGGGCCAACACAAAATTCCTTTGGGCTGCGATGAGGAGTTATGCTATATATTTTACAAAGATCCACAGGCTAGTTTCCTTGGATCAGCTGAATCTGAGTTATTTCCGTAGAAATTTAACTTCTATTATTGGTTTGAACTCTAAAGGCTAACATGCTCTACTGGGATACTTGTAGTTTGATCTTCCGATAGCATGGTCATATGGACAAAAACACGGAGTAACTCTGGAACAACTATCATTATGGTGGAGCAAGAGACCTGCAAAATTTGCTGGATTGGGTTCAAAGGTGATATGCTTGCAGTTTCTTCCTTTGCCTCAGAGCTTACATGCTATAAATGATAATAGTGTATCTTTTGTCTCTGATTCAGAAACATAAAAATTAAAATCTCTTATTAGTTATTCAAGTAGATAGAAATCTCCCAAAACTTAATTTCGGTCCATCCCTTTTTGCCCTTTCTATATTTTTTGCCTTCCCAGTTAGGGATTCCATCATGTTGTCTTCTATACTCTTGCTTTAAAATTTACCTGAAAAAGCTTTATGTTAAAGCTCTTAAAGATTTATATGTGAAACTGTTCAGTCGGCCACCGTGTGCTCCCTTGAAATTTGTTGCAGGTTGAAGTCAGACTAAATTTCCATTTATGTTATAGGGGGGCATTGAAGTTGGAAAAGATGCTGATATTGTGGTGTGGCAACCAGAGACAGAGTTTGTCCTGGATGACAAGTATCCTGTTTTCATTAAACATCCTGTAAGTTTCATTTCTTCTCTTCCTGTTCTGCTAAACTCATTTTTTTCATGTTTCAGTCATGATACTTTTATTATGGTGGCTTTTTCTTGCTGGAACATTTGTCCATTTGCCTGCAGTATAAAAAGTGAGTATACGTAATTGAACAAGTAACGTTGGGAAAGCCAAGTCTCAAGTCTTTGATTCTCATCTAGTTACAAAGAGTCAAGGGCCGTCTCTCAACCAAGAGAAATGAACTGTTAAGCACTTGCACATGAATATTTACACACAAAGTTCTCAAGATTTCTCCTTACACGAGAACTCATTAGGCTTTAAGTCAATGGACAAAGTAAAGCCTCAAGATACCTTAATGGAACTTTAATGAAGGAAATGGTAGTAGGCTAAACTCTTGACAACTTGATTATACAAGTCCTCATTCTATGTGAAAGACTAGGTCAACTCAAAACAGTAAGTTCCTAAATGAAACTATGTGAATAATCTTATTACAACCCATATGACAGATTCATTGTTGCAAATTTCTTTATGTGATCGAGTCCAAGCCAATCTAGCCTAACTCTGCATGGCAATCAAGGACAGACCTAGATTATAGGAAAAACGGGCAGCAATATATTGTTTCTTTGTAATATCTTTGTATTATTTATGGAGATAATGTTATTTCCTTTTTAAAAAAAAAAAAAAAATCGATTTGCCAATAGCCCTTGGCCTAATAGCATCAAGCTCACTCCCATATCTGAGAAGTCTCGGATTCGATCCTGCCCTCTAGAATCCCCTTCTCCCGTGTAAATTTTCTGGTTCCATCCCTAACTGCAGTTGTGATGATTACTATTGTTCATATTTTTATACACAGAGCATCTCTGCGTATATGGGAAAGAAGTTATCAGGACAAGTGTTGGCGACTTTTGTGAGAGGAAACCTTGTCTTCAAGAATGGGAAGCATGCTCCTGCAGCCTGTGGTGTTCCAATCCTTGCTAAATGAAAAACTCTTCTCAAATCTTTCTTGTGCTCATCGTGATCCTTCCTGGTTCTAGCAGATATGGCTTGCCTTGCCTCCAGGAATAATGAGAAGAAAGTCAGAAGTTATGTAAAATTATCTGCACGTTCAACATCTTCAATAAAACAATGACATTTGGTGGAATTTTTTCCCTCCTCAAAAGTCATTTATATGGCATTGGATGTAATAGTAGAAATTTTTATCAGAGTTGATAACGATAAGTGGAAAAAAACTTGTAGCAAAGGTTTGTACTATCCTATGTTAGCAAGAAGGTCCCCCGATGCTATTCTTGTGTTGTTTATTTATTTATTTTTGCTTGTGTTTGGATCCAGAAGAGATAGATTTAAAAAATAATAATAATTTTTTTTTTAAATTTTATTATTCAAAAATAAAACAAAAAGAAAATATTTATGGCTCTTACGTGCTTGAATTCAAATCTTTATAGTTAGAATTATGATATTTGAATAATATCATCTCTAAAGGTGAAAGGATCTTCAGTCTTAATAATAATAATAATAACAACACCAATAAGAATAGTGATAATAATAGCAGTAATGCCGAGAAGAAAATAAATGGCTGGTTGTTGCGTGCTGTCTTAACGAACTTAACTGAAACCGACGCGCGGCGGCGCAGAAACGTCGTCGTCTGTCATCCTGCTCGAATGGCTACGAACGTGAAGGCTCATCCTATCACCAAACTTCAGTAGCAGGTAATAAAATGTTCAGAGGGAGTTAGACTCGGAGAAGCGCGACGGGGACGGTTCGAGTCAACTTGCCTTCCTTATTTCTCTCCATCTATCTGTAAATTATCCGATGGAACTCAGCAAGCTCTTCATTTCCGTGAAGAAACCCCCAAACCTCTTCTCCAGACCCTGCTTCGCGTTCAACAACTCGGCCGCGTCGAACTCAGTCACGGAACAAGTCGCACTGTCTCACACTCTTCAAGCCGAGACTCTCAAGACCCTGGAATGGAGCTCCATCTGCAAGAAGCTCTCGAAGTTCACGTCGACATCCATGGGCTTCTCCGTCGCGCAAAGTGCTCAAGTGCCCATAGGTCGGACCCAGAAGGAGAGCCAGAAACTTCTCGATCAGACTTCCGCGGCAAGGCTGGTTCCTCGGCCTATGGACTGTTCTGGTATCGATGACTTGACAGAGATTGTCAATGTTGCAACTTCGGGTCAGCTTTTAACGATCAGGGAGCTCTGTACGGTTTGCCGGACGCTGCGTGCTGCAAGAGGGTTGTTCAATAAGTTGCAGGAGTTGAGTTCAGTTGGTAGTTCTCCAGAAAGGTATTATAGTTTTGGTTCTTAGATAGAATCTTGTCCTTTAGTTTTGATAAAATTGTTTGGTTTGGAATTTAAATTTAATAATTTAATCTATATGATTTAAATTCATAAAACCGAGGTTAACATAGAAGGTAAATAATCGAAGATAGATCATGTAACTTGAGGTGACGACTTGTTTTTGCCCTGCCCCGAATTTGGGAATTGTGGTGTTTACGCTGGGAGATTCCTGGCTTTTTTAATAAAAAAAAATCTTGCAAAGATGTTTGTATTACAAATTTCATGTTTGGGCTTTGGGTTACTGTCTATGTCACCTTTTAGGTGTTTTGGATATGTTTCAGTATGTCTATCATTATCCAGATTGATGTCTTCTGCAGAAAACTTTTTATTACTCTTTCATGTTCTCAAATCCGAATTGCACCCATTCCAAGGTGGGTTAAGAAGTTTTCCGTCAACGGTTTTCTCAGCATTCAAGGAAGTTCTTAGTCCAATTCAGATTGTAAGGATTTTCTTTGATGCATTTTCTCTAGGGGTTCTGTTTTTCCTTGACAACGTGTGGAGTATAGATCATATGGTAATGGATTCTCCTGTCTTCATAAGGCCTTAAAAGAAAGTTTTCTCTCAAAGGTACTCTTATATATGGAGTATAATTCCCTTATTTGACTTGTTGTTTTGACTGATCTGCTTCAAGTTGAAAATTTCAAGATAGGGATCTGAATCAATATTTTAATCCTTGCAATCATTTCAGGTACTTGCCTCTACTTGAAATATTGCAGAATTGTGATTTCCTAGTTGAGTTGGCGAATAAAATAGAGTTTTGCATAGATTGCAAATTTTCTGTAATTCTTGATAGAGCAAGTGAAGACCTGGAAATCATTAGATCAGAAAGAAAGAGGAACATGGAAGTTTTAGATTCTTTGTTAAAAGAAGTATCATTTGAAATTTTTAAGGCTGGGGGCATTGACAAGCCACTAATTACAAAACGTCGATCTAGGATGTGTGTGGGTGTCAAGGCTTCTCATAGATATCTGCTACCAGATGGTGTAGTTCTGAATGTTAGCAGCTCTGGGGCAACATATTTTATGGAACCCAAAGATGCAATAGATCTGAACAACATGGAAGTAAGGCTTTCAAACTCTGAGAAGGCTGAGGAAAGAGCAATTTTGAGCTTGCTTGCCTCTGAGATAGCAAATTCAGAAAGGAAAATCAAGTATTTATTAGATAGGATTCTCGTAGTTGACCTTGCTTTTGCAAGGGCAGCCTATGCTCAATGGATGCATGGAAAATGTCCAATTTTCAGTGTAGGGAATTTTGAAGGTAGTGGTCATAATGAAGAGGGTGAAACTTTAATGATTGATATTGATGGTCTACAACATCCCTTACTTTTGGAGGCCTCTTTAGATAGATTTTCAGACAATCTTGATCTGAGATCAGGAAATGCTGACGAGTTGGCTAATAAAAATGCAGTAGTGGATTCTAGAAATTTGTTACAAGCCATACATGACTTTCCTGTACCAGTTGACTTTAAAATTGGCTGCGGAACCAGAGTGGTAGTGATCTCAGGACCTAATACTGGAGGGAAAACTGCTTCCATGAAAAATTTAGGCCTGACATCACTCATGTCAAAATCTGGAATGCATTTGCCTGCAAAAAGCTCTCCCAAGCTTCCTTGGTTTGACCTTATATTGGCAGACATCGGGGATCACCAGGTAATTTGTGGACTTCCTTATTTCCAATATGATCTTTTCCCTGGCATCATGTGGCTGTTTCATTTGTTTTTCTAATATTTTTTCCTTTTTGCTGTTTTTCCCCATTGAAGTCCCTAGAACAAAATCTCTCAACTTTTAGTGGGCATATCTCACGAATATGTAAAATTTTGGAAGTGGCCTCAAAACAGTCACTTGTTCTCATTGATGAAATTGGCAGTGGAACTGATCCTTCTGAAGGTGTAGCTCTTTCTGCTAGTATCTTGCAATATCTGAAGGATCGGGTAAACTTGGCTGTTGTGACTACACATTATGCGGATCTGAGTAGCCTAAAAGATGGGGATAACCGTTTTGACAATGCAGCAATGGAATTTTCTCTAGAAACATTACAGCCTACTTATAAGATTTTATGGGGATGTACTGGTGATTCAAATGCATTAAGTATAGCTAAATCTATAGGCTTTGATAATAATATAATTGAAGGCGCCAAAAAATGGGTGGAGAAGTTAAAGCCAGAACAGCAACAAGAGCGGAGAGGAATGTTGTATCACTCTCTACAGGAGGAAAGAAACCGATTGAAAGCCCAGGCTGAAAAGGTTGCATCTGTTCGAGCTGAAATTTTGAACATATACCATGAGGTACATTCTAGATGCTTTTGCAATTTTATTCTGTACTTCTTCATTCTAGCTTTGTTAGATCTACAGTGGATCACCTTGGAAAATATTCCTTCTCAAGTTTATCTGAAATTTTCTTTCTTATTATTTAAAAATACGTTATGTTAAAATTAAAAAAGGTAAACAAATTGGGAATTCTTGATTCTTTCATAATTCTGTTACTCCTGATGGCCACACTTGGACATCAACCAGCAGGCAGTAAATCATTTTCTAGTTTCTGAATGGTAATCCTTCTCTGCGGAAAAAAGCCACTACAACTTTTTGAAGGATGGAGCACCTCTAGGTTAAGGCTTTGATTTGGATTGTAATAATAGGATTTGTAGTAATGATCCGGTACAGCATTGCAGGAGGATAGGTCTCATAATGTCCATAACATTTGTGTTATAAATCAAAGACGGCCTAGAAAAGCAATATTTCTATCATGAGGTAGCATGGCAGTTGTGGAGAAAGTTTTCTGTGCTGTTTAGAAAGCACTGGGTAGTTATGCCTAATTCAAAGTTCTTGTTTCTAACCTTTTTCTGAGGTTTTGCGGTAACAAAGAGATTAAGATGTTTTGGAATTGTTCTCTTCGCGACGTTTCATGTTGTCTTCACCTGTTTTTGTGTTTTTCTGGGGGTGGCTGTTCTTTGCCTTCCTGCCATTCTGTGGACTTCAGGTCATAGGTTTTGTGATGCTTTTCCTTTGTCTATTATGTGAAGGAACTATTACAAGTACGTAAATGAGTACATCGACTTTACCATGCCAAAAAGAAGGAGAATCAAAAAAATTCACTGCCTTATTGTTGGAGAAGAGTTCTTCACCGATAGAATTCTCTTACCATTTTCTGCCTTTCCAGTAAACTTGGACTGTATATGATTTTATTTCGATTTTTTTTTTCATTTCTGTTTTCTCATGCTCTCCTCCTTTATGAAATTTGTTTGTGAAGATCCAAGAGGAAGCAGAAGATCTTGAGAGACGTGAGATGGCTCTAATGGCGAAGGAAATTCAGCAGGTCCAACAAGAGCTATTGGATGCCAAATCTCAGATGGAAACTATAATAAAGAAGTTTGAAAAACAACTCAGAACAGCTGGTCGTGATCAATTGAATTTATTAATTAAGGAATCTGAATCTGCAATTGCCTCCATTGTAAAAGCTCATGCTCCTGCTGACAATTTTCCTGGTAATGAAGCTGATCAGACTCCATATACACCGCAATTTGGAGAGCAAGTTCAAGTTGAGGGACTAGGAGGGAAATTGGCTACAGTGGTGGAACAGCCAGGGGATGATGAAACGATCCTGGTACAATATGGTAAAGTGAAGGTCCGTGTGAAGAAAAGTAGCATCAGAGCTATTCATTCTCATGGAAAGAATTCTATATCTAGTTCTGTCGCGCATCAGGGGAGGCAGGTATGAGCTATAAGTACTTCAAAAAAAGTTTAGATTTAGCTGGTTTTGTAATTGATTAATTGATATACCTGTTCCTTAAGAAGAGTAATAGGACCAACGTTAATTTTAAATAGCCTTTTTGGTAACGGAAAAGGCTAGCTGGCCTGGCCATGTTGAGGCCTATCATCCTCTGGTACATTAACTTCAGTATATAGCCTTTAGTTTCCGTTCGCAACTTCTGGGTGTGTGTGTGTGTGTGTGTGTGTGTTTTGTGGGGGGGGGGGGGGGATGGAAACTCAATCTTCTACATATACACGTTCTTGTATTGAAAGAGAGAGATGAGAAAGGGTGTGATTATGTGTGGGTTCATATTCTATCTTTATTTCTATCATCTCGGGTTTTTATATCTATCTTTCTGGATTCATACTTTGCATTTATTTTTTGTGAAAGTAAATAACGGAATTAAAAAAATAAATAGCTGATAATTGTTCTTCTCCTTTTAAATGATGGGGCTTAACATCTGGATCAATAATTGCAGGGTCGGAAGAACAGAGAATCCCGCAGTAACTTAGAGAGCATCAACAATGGAGAGCCTTCTTATGGCCCAGTGGTGCAGACGTCTAAGAACACAGTGGACTTGAGAGGCATGCGAGTGGAAGAAGCTTCTATACAGCTTGAGGTGGCAATAAACGCAAGCCGTCCATATTCGGTTCTCTTTGTTGTACACGGGATGGGTACTGGTGCAGTTAAGGAACGCGCACTTGAGATACTGAGAAATCATGCTAGAGTCACTAATTATGAGCCAGAAAGTCCCATGAATTATGGTTGTACTGTTGCTTATATCAAGTGAATCAAACCTTCATTTTTATATCTCCGCCAGCTTGATTTTGCCTGGCAAACTGATCTAGAAAAAAATCACTAGTTTCTTGTTTTGGCCAAAAGAAATATACAAGCATGAATTACCTGTGCATGCGATGCATGTGTGTATAAATATCATTTTGAATAAGAAAAGTTAATCTTTTAGTCTATATAATTTTGACTCAGTTATAAATTAGTCATTGACACTTCATGATTTGGTTATAGTTAAATCTCTGAAAGACTATATATTGTATGAAAGTATAGGGATCAATAGATTAAGATGCTGAAGCTTGAGTCATTGAGTAAAACGAGTTAAATTTCAAGACTTAAATTATAATTAAGTCAAAACTGCATTAATTGAATGATTAAGTTTTTTAAATATAATATATAATTAGATAAGTAAATATATAATTTATTTTGAAAAACCGAAAAAGAGTTATATTTTAAAAAATGGATATAAACTACGCAACCGTACTTTTTCAATATATATGCATTATTTAATCTTTATATAAATGTAATATAAAAGGATTTAAAACTTTTGGCACCAGCATTGCCCAAAAAAGGCAAAAACTTTTGGCGCCATCGTTGCATGTAACGCCCTGCTCTTCTCTCGCTTGAATTACACGTGCCACTTCCAAAGTCCCATGTCACCTTCCTTGCGCTGCCACTTGCAGATTCTCAAATGCCACCCGTCTGCGACCTTCTGAATTTTTCATTACTTTTCTTCGCAACGAAGACAAGCTTGCGACCTTCATGACATAGAGTGTGAGCAAGTTCTTGTTGAACGAAGTTCTCGTCGGCAAAAGATGTTGGCTGTGTTTGAAAAAGCCACAGGAAAACCTCCGGTTGAGCTGGGTCTTCCCTCCATGGGGTCGGAAAATTCCAAGACACCGCATGAAATCTTGGAGATTTTTCTGTCGATGCGATCGGATTTTGCTCTTTACAACCTCCCACATGGGAATTTTATGGCTCTGTCGCATAAAGAAGAAAATCCAATGCACCCCAGGTGCCTGTAATTTTGCTCACTTCTCATTTATCTTTTGTATTTTAAATTTCTTTGAAATGGATTTGTATTTGTACAAAAAAAAAAAAGATTCTTGGAAAAATCCGATGCATTCTAAGTGTCTGTCCTCTCTTGTTTCTGTACAAGAAAAATGCTTAAAATTCTTTAACTTAGATTGATTATGGGAATTTATTGGCTCTGTCTCATGAAGCAGAAAACCCAGTGCACACTGTGCACTCAGGTGCTTGTAATTTTGTTCACTTGCTCTTGTATGTGCTGTGCACACAGTGTCCTTGATGTGGATTCATTAAAGAAAAATGCTTGAAGTTGTTAACTTAGTTTTCCCTATTATGCCCTCTAACAGTAAGCACAGTGGAAACCGAACTAGGCTGTAGGCTTAGAAAAATTGTTGAGAACCAAAAGCGGAACATGAAAAGGAGTTTTCTGAGTTACTATATGTCATGTTCATATATAATCAGATTCCATTTGGTGTTTTCATGTGCTTATCTGATGTGTATATGCATGTGATAGGTCCATTGTTGTTATGGACGATACCTTCTGCATATTTGTAGGGACTCTAGCCAATGTTGCTGATCTAAGGCATTACTATGGCCTGCCTAGGCAAGCCACAGAAGCCATGGTCGTGGTTGAAGCTTACAAAGTTCTGAGAGATCGAGCTCCTTACCCTCCTGACCAAGTCGTCAAAGACCTTGATGGAAAGTTCGCATTCATCATCTTTGATGCCAAAACCAACACTCTTTTTGCGGCCAGAGTGAGTTCCCATAAACGAAAAAAACTAGTCTCTTTTCCTTCTCTTCCAGAACTAGCAGCTGACTACTGAGTGCGTAAATTAAGCTAATCATGAAGTCGTATATGAATATGCTGAGAGTGGATTTCACTCTGTGCCTCAGTCTTTTATAGAGTTGAGAAATTTCTTCCGGTCAAATTATATGTTCAGTTTTAACATTATAGAATTGATGGCAATGTTAGGATCGAGAGGGAAGTGTGGAATTTCAGTGGGGAATGGCAAAGGATGGATCCTTGGTCTGCTCTGATGATCCTAACATCACAAGACAGGGGTGTGGAAAATCTTCTTCGCCTTTCCCTCCTGGTAATTCATTCAATCCTAATGATCTTAACTTGGGCTCCTTTGCATGTCTTCTTACTTTTAAATTTGAAATTAAAATATCAGTCTCTCATTTATGTGTGTGTGTGTAAACAAATTTGCAAGTGATCTGCTTTTATCACATTATGTTCACTGGTTGAGCATTGGAATATAAAATTGTAGGGTGCATATTCATGAATGGAATTGGACTGACAAGTTTTGATCATCCACTTCACAAGATTCGAGCCATTGCTCATGAAGATGACAAAGGAAACATATCAAGTGTGTATTTCCAGGTGGATTTATACTCCAGAATTCCCAGCATTCCTCGTACTGGAAGTGCATCCAATTGGGCTGATACTGCAACTGGTCAAATAAATTAATTATTCAATCAATGTTTCAAGAGTATAAACCAGTAGAAACTGGTGCAATTGTAAACAATAATCTGAAAAACTTCTATTAAAGAAATTGTTATGATCATGGTTGTGGGGTTGGTGAATATCTGATGAACCGTAGAAGGGGTAGCCTTAGAAGATTCAACAAGAATCCAAATAAGGATCCTTTTTTAGCGGGAGGAAGAAATATTAATGGGAAGCTTTAACTTCATTTGATATATGGTCCATCTTTTTCTTAATTATTTTTGTCTATTTCCTTTTCTCATTTCAAAGGACTTTTTCATTACTAAAACCATCCGTACAAAATATAAATGGCGGGGGAATTTTCTTATAGAAAATTTTATTGACGAGAGAAGGATAATAGATTTTTATATAAAAAATATTATTATTTTGTAAATGTTTTATGTACAATAGGTTCTTTTTAAAAAAAAAAGGGAAATTGATTAAAAAAATTTTATTAGAAAATTTATTGTTCAAAGGGACTCAAAAGTTTTTGGCTGGGTATAATTCTCTTTTGGTTGTTATTCTTGAACAAATGCCAACAACAACAAAAATCTAAGTTACCCTCAATGATATGGTAAACTAATTTTAACCAAAGTTTTTATAATTATTTCTCTTCAGATGTATGCGACTGTGCGTTAATAAGACTAGGCTTGGTGATAGCATCATATATATGATATTCTCCAATATGATACTCCTCCGGTCCTTAATATAAGATCCAATTGTTGAGTTAGTTTTGGTCCTAAATATAAGATCCATTTCTCATATTTATCAATTTTCTCTAAATTACCCCTATGGATACTCCCTCAACCATAATCAAATAGAAGAGGGAGATGGAGTATTAAGACAGATGATTATGGTGTTTTAGGAAAAATGTGTCACTTTTCTTATGATTAACCAACTTACCTAACTTCCTTAATTTAATCAAATTAGTTAAATGGGTCTTATATTAAAGACCGGAGGAGTATATAGGTAAAGGGAGTGAATTTTTAGTTAAAAAAATATGAAATGAATTTTATGTATTTGCACAAAACGTAAACTAAATCACATTTTGTGCGTGTTTGGAAAACAATTTTGTTTCACATGTGCCTCAAAAAATGGACGTTTCCAATACCTCACAAATTGAAAATGCATGTTTGGGAAGTTGAAGTTGTTATCTAATCATGCGCCTTAAGTGTTTCTGAACAATTGTGGATTGTATGCAATTTGAGATAGGTTCATTAAAAATTGTCTTGATATCCCCTCAAAAGTGTTTCATAGTAACTGATTGATTAATGATGTGAAATGTGAATTATCATCAATATTAATATAATTCATAATAATTGATTTACATCCACAAATATTGCTGTTGGAAAAAAAAAATCCAAAAAGTTGTTTTTTTTTAAAGATTTTCAACAAAACAAACAAATTGATATTCATACAGAGTGGAGAAAAAGTTGTTTTCATTTCTTCTTCCCCTAAGCACATTCACTTTCACCCGATGCCTTAAAATGATTGGTGACCAAAGATTTATCCTACTAAAAATTGAGATGCAAAATCACGTTTTTAAACAATTGATTTTAAAAGTGATTTTATATAGTATTAAGTAAATACGTAAGAGTTATATTTTAATTTGCTTTTCAAGATTTTCAAATACCCTTTGAAACGTAGAATCAACATTTACGTTTTATACTTAGAAAAGTGTGTTGACCGTTGAGATTGAACATATACTATCTCATAGGTCATGTTTTTAAGGAAACAGATTACTGACTCTTTTGGGTAGTTCATATCCCCCTTCCCAAATCACGTTTATAAATAATTAAAACGTAAAAATAACTTATGTGTTTGACACTTTTAGAAAAAATGTGTTGGGAGTGTTACACACACCATCTCATATACCATGCTTTTAAGAAAGGTAATGGCAATCTATTTGGCATTGCCTTCAACATGGTACAAGAATAGCATTTGCAAAGGAGCATCCATTCTTTACAAATCAAGATACATTGTATTTTAATAAAACCACAGATCACACTTGTAAACAACTGAAACATAGAAACAACCTATACGTTTCACACATAAAAAAAGTATGTAAACGGGGTTAACTGCTCCCCAAGGAAGCACATGTCTCGTGAACCATATTTTTAAGGAAGCCAATATAGCAACTTATTCTGAGGGGTTAAAAACTTCTCAATCACATTTCTTAGCAGCTAGTTTATACGCAACCTGTACATTTCAAGTCTCAGAAATTATGTTAGGAGCAGTACACGTGCTATCTTATGAATCACTTTTTTTTTAAAAAAAAACTAATACTACTTCCAGTCCTCATTATAAGACATTGCTTATAAACTATAACTGAAATCTTATAATTAAAACAGGAGATAGTAATGTTTTGCTTGGAGCCAGTAACAGCCTATTTTCAAGGGTCGGAATCCCCTCCTAATTCACATTTCTAAACAATTAGTTTTATAAGTACGTTTGCAGCCTGGGAAATCGTGTTGGCAGCGACGCACATACCATCATCTCATGAACCATGTTTCTAAGAAAACCAATAGTCTGTTTGGTGTGGCCTTTAACATGGCCACTAGAATAGGAAGTAAAATACTACCCCCGCTCCCTCTCTTATATAAAAACTCATTTAATTTTTATTTTAATTTTAAATATAAGATTTTAATTTACTTTTTCTCTCATATGTATTTATTTTTTTCAAAGTAATCATTATAATAATAATAGTTTTAGCTAATATATTACTTCCGGTTCTAATTATAAAACGTCATTTGTAAACTATGAATGAGACCTTATAATTAGGATCAAAGCTAATATAGTACTTGATTAGAAAAGATATTTTAGGAAAAACAACACTTAAACGGCAAAAAAAGAAAAGAAAAGACAATACTTATTTCTTACAAATAACTAACTTCACTAATTTTTTTAATATACTCAAATTAGGCAACTAGTTTTTATATTAAGAAACAATGTTTAATATAAGAACTAGTTTGACTTTTAATTTAGTCCTAAATATAAAATTCAAATCCACATTGTCTCTCATATTTATCATTTTTTTTCTAATATAATCCTTATAGTAATGATAGTCTAGCTAATACATTTGACTAGCAAGTGTATTTTAGAAAAAACAATATATTTATTACAAAATAATTAACTTAATATAATTTTCTTAATTTATCCAAATTAGTCAATTAGCTCTTATATTAAGAATAAAAATAAGTCATATCATTTATGATTATGGCTTATAAATGCATGAGGCATGATAAGTTCTACATTGAAATGGTTAGTGATATTTGATAGTGATTGGTTTTTATTTTTATTTATTTATTTTTTGAAACTTATCAAATTTTTTTAAAAATATATAGAAGAGAAAAACAAAACTTGCAGAGGAAGTGTGACTACAAAAGAAACAACTCAAAAATTAAGGGCTCGTTTATCACATTTTTGTTATTAATAAAATTTTTAACAGATTTTTTTTCCAATTTTTCCTATTATTTCCCCTTGACCTTATGTTTGGATGAAAATTATGAAAAAAAAAATACTAAAATAAAAAACTTCCTAAAATAATAATTTTTTTACTATTTTTAAAAGTTTTTCTTTCTAGTATTTATTCTTTTCATTTTCTTTTTAATTCTTCCCTCCATCCGAACGTAGGGCTCAAACTTCTCAAGGAAGGAGCTTGCGAAGGAAGCACTGCATAAAAATATATATAAATATAAAACTTGTGAAGGAAGGAGTCGTTTTTAATGGAATAAATCAGGCCGCACTGGACTTGGACAGTCTCCAAGACCGAGAATCTTTTTCGTCCCATTCTCTCAATTTTTTGTTCAAATAGACACAAAAATATTTGATTAATTAATTTACCTCTAAAATCCACCATGTAATGATACTGTTCGTTTGCGTTTTCTATATAACGGCCGCCATGTGCAGAGTGTTGTGGGCTTCTCCACATTTCACTCTGCACTCAGGTACAATCCTTCACTCTTCTCCTTCATTCACCATTTCATTCTTAATGAGTGAGTCAGTGATTCTTTGCTTGTTCATATTCTGGGAAGATTGCGTAAGAAATTTCTTCTTACATCCGATGAACATTCGTAGTTTCTCGAAAAAGCAACTACGTTTCCTTTCTTGACTTAAATTCTTTCTTTTTCGCTGGCCTGCTGTTCTCAGCTTAAAATTTCACCGGAATGCTGTTCTGTGAATTCGTGCATATTCTTCGCCCATTTGCGTTAAAAATTAATATCTCGAATAATGATCGGTGTGTCTTTCAAATGCGATTAAATACTTGGTGTTTGATTGCAATGCTAATGCCACTTAGATGCTGTCTGATGTTTAATTTGGACTTATTTGCATTAAGTGAGTGATATGGCTTTAAATATTCTTTTAGATTTTCCTTGCATCGAAAAAATGGCCGTGAGGTTCCGAGATTCTGGTCCTTTTTGGCTTGTTTGGTACCTGCAGTCATTTACCTGCACAACCCTGTTAGATTTCCTTTGTATTTGATATTATTCATATTTCAAATTTATGCATATTGTTTTCATTCGCCTATCAGTTCATTCTCCCCTTTTTGAAAACTAGAAATATAAAGTGAACTGGCGGGTATGCAAGCATTAGAAATACACACAATGACATATGCAAATGCTTAAATAGTTTTCTGAGAAAATACGTTGATTCATTTTGGTCCTAGTATATCAAGATGTCATCATGCATCAAGTTTTTGTCTCAAACAAGTGAGAATGCCATCTTTGTTTTATTCTATATGTTTTCAGAATGGTCCTTGCAAGTTTTCAGTTGTTGGATAATGCGTTCTAATATTTGCTTCAGTACTTAACACTCACTTTCTTCCTGTAGATCCCAAAAGTGGTATTGAAGTATAATTGGCATGGAAGCCTGCGGTCAAAATGAATTCAAGTGTGATGAAGAAAAGGCATTAAATAGCTTGCTTGATGCCTTTGGCTCTGTGTTTTCTCTTGAAGAAATAGCTTCTGCATATTGTAAGGCCAATCGGGATGCAGACCTGGCTGGTGAAATATTGTTTGACATGCAGAGGAGCTCCTCAACGTCAACAACCAATTCACCTAATGCAGATGCTGGGGTTGAAGCAAATGCAAAATCATCAGATAGTCTCTTCTCTCACAATTCCTTTCAAGAAAGATATCCAAAGCCCAAGTTTTGCCCAGTTTCAGTTGGCACTGTTTCAAGCAGGCTTGGTAAGGATTATGTAAGATCCATGCCATCAGCAAATAGGTATTATCATGGAACAACTAAGCCGTTAAAGTTGGATGCGAATTTGCTGACAATGTCTGAAAGCTGGGCTGATGAGTGTGAGCCAACTATTTTAAACAATGATCAGCTTCACCAGGACATGGAAGATTTCTTATTTAAAATGCTTGGAGATGGTTTCCGGCTTGACAGAGAGAAGATACGGGAAGTTCTGGGTATATTACTTTTGAGGATTTTGCCTCTAATATTGAAGCTTATGTTCTTTTTCTTTTTCTTATTGACACATTACAGGACACTCTACCTTTTCTATATAATAGACCCCGGTTTCATCAGGTCTTTCTGATCACAGAAATTTCAAATTGTTACTTAACTAATATTTATAATTCAATTAATCTGGTAACTTCGTTTTTTTTTTTAAATAATATTTATTGGCTTTCAATAATTTTTCATATTTTATGTGCATTTCTTATTTCTGGGAATGCTTATGTAACAACTTTTAAGAAAATGTCCTCATCTTTTTACAGTTTACTCTATTAAAAGCACCATTTTTAATTTAATATTTTATTTTGACCGTATGTTTCTTTCTAATCTTCCTTTGTTTTGAATTCCCTTGTCTGTTAGTCATAATAAGGTCTTGCTTAATACCCAAGGTTTCCAGTTTTTGGTACCTTGAAAATTTAATTGCTTGTAAACTGATCTGTTACAATATTTGAATGGTTTATATTTTGATATGACCCTAACATTTAACCTTTCAATTGATATTTGGGGTGACTTTTTCACTTGAATAAGCGAGTCTGGATTGTATAGTAGTTGTTAGTATTATCAATTTTTATAAGGTAAAAATACAAATATTCCCTTTCTTTTTTAAGCCATTCGCCACACTACTCTCAACTTTGAGAACTGAAAATAGCTCACCCCCAGCAAGTACCCTTTAAGATTTAAACACTCTTGTTCATCTCTGCTCTAACAAGTGCCACCTTTATCTTTGTCTTTGGTCAAGTGGCAGAATTCAATTGATTTGCAAACATCAAGTGAAAGAATTTTAAGGGGCGTTTAAGTTAATGAAGATAATGGGAAAATAGTCAAAACGGGTTTAGTTTCTTAAGGGTGATAGTTGAGGGAAGCATTTTCCATTTTTTCAAAGTCGAGAGGATCTTTGCAAATGGCTCAAAGTTGAAGGGGGTGTATGAATTTTCTTATATTTACAACAATTTATCGAGAATGATGAGTTGTTCATTGCATACAGATGTCAAAAGTTAAATTATTTGATCCTGGCAACCATGCTTTGTCACTTTACATTCAAGTGATCTGTTGATATGCATATGGCATACAAAAATATCATGGCCCAAAAGAAAAACATGCATAATAATTATCCTTTATTCTAAGTATTATTTAGAACTTATATTATCATAATATCTTGGTAGTAAAAACTAATCAGCTTCATTTGCAAACATGCAGATAATTGCAGGTATGATATGAAAAAGGTACATAAAGATTGCCTTCTGCGTTTTGCTTTTCTTTTCTTGAACTACTTGATATTATTGATGTAATTGTCACTTGATGTTGATACCTATTCTCTTGTTTAGAGTTTAGATCACCCAAACTTGATAATTACTTGTTCTTCTGCTTAGTTATCTTTTATGGGATACGCATATCCTACTTGAAAGTTTCTTATTCTTCGTACAATGAGTTACATAAAGTATTGTCAAATGTCAATCATGGTTTATAGTTTAAGTTGCGTGGGCTCATTTTCTCATGTCCAAAAGTGTAAGAACTCTCATGCATTCACTTTCCCTTTTTATTTTTTAATTTTGAACTATCATCTTGCATATGATGTCATTCTCGTTGTACTTTAAGAAACACCACTAATATCGATGTTATATTTATTTTAAATCATTCAGAGCATGGATAAGTTGATGGATGAATCAATTTTAACTATTGACAAAAAAGCACGTGTCGTTGGCGAATCTTCTAGAAGGGTAAGTATGAAAATCAGGATTATCTTAAATTGAAGCTTATTAAGTTTTTCTCATACCGCTGTCTGCAGGAAGTTATTGCCTGTAATCTGAAGTATGTGTTATTTTAAATGAAAAAGTTGTCAATTTGTCTATTTTGGTTTGGTTACTGAACTTAAATCCAAGGAGACAGGAAAAAAGAGATGAGGGTGGTGGTGGATATGGCATGCCATCATCTAATGCAGTTGATTAAGTGATCTTATCTTAGTTGCTGAAGAAATCTGACTCGCATAATTGTCCTTAGTAGGGTATCTGCTGTTAGTATACAGATTATGCTCAGCATGGGTCTTTATCAATTTAATTTGATTTTATTGGGGGGAAAACTGCATTTAGCATAAGTCAAACTTGCAATTACTTCTTTGTGCATGCCTACTGAATATAATGTATTATGATCTTTGTGTTGGCGTACTTCTGTTCTTGATTTTGAAAGAAGTAAATATATTTAGATCAAGTTGATTTAATTGTATGTTTGTTAAGTGAGGTGAAACAACTTTCCCTTGGAGGTAGGGTATACTTAGAAGCATGTTGCATCTTTAAATATTTGATTGGATGGTTGTTGTACATTTGTTGTAACGTTTAAGTTCTAATATGGTTTTTCTAATGAAAGGAAAAGGTCAATCTCATTTTTTTGCATTTGGGTTTCAAATGATTTGTGCATATGGAAGTAGCTAATGCCATTATCTGCCATACAATGATGTGTAATTAATAATTATTGTCGACCACATGCCAGTCTGTCTGTATTTTGCTTTTATTTTTCTTTCATTGCAACCTTGTAAGTAGAGGAAGTAGAGGGTTTATAAAACTGACCCTTTTCAAGGATTGCAGAAAGGCTTCTATGAAATGTATTTTTCCTCCCTTGTTTATAAATAACTGCTCTATTTCTCTGTTTGGAAATCTAATTTAGGTTTGCCTGTATTAATGCACTTGATTATTGTCTGAAGAAGAAACCTAGCTTTTTGGGCTTCTGTTTTGTTGGTGTGTTATGTTTTATAAGATCTTTTACATTCATCTTTTGTGCAGAAAACACTTCCTTAGTGACTAGTGTAGTGTTTGAAATTCTAATGTTCATCTTGATTGCTATGGGCTTTTCTTAACCCAACTGTGCTTTCACAGTCGAAAGATTGGAAGCCAAAATCTAAAGTACCTTCATTTGAAAGAAAGTCAGAAAATGTAAATTATCCAGGGTATGATCTTGCTTTCCATTTTCTTTCTTTCTTCTGTTGCATCTGTTAATATCTGCTACATCTGTTACTGTCATGGTCACTGTCAAAGAAAAGTGAAAATCTACTTTTTCTTTTGCTTTAGTTGGCCTCATTATAATGGGTCGATCAAACACTTTGTGTCTTGGTTTGTTTTCTTTGTTTATTTGGTAATGGAAGCAGAATTTCAAACAAAGGAGTACATGGGAAAAGGAATGAGAGAGAGAAGGTTCAGCAAGAACTCTTGACTTCTTTATTTCAAGTTCGTGAGCATTCTGAAGAGTCTTCTGAAAAAATAACAAAGGATGCTAAAAAGCTTTCACCATACAGAAAAGTGGTAGATGGACCTCCTGATGATTCCTTGGAAGAATTCAAGATTGACACAAACTACTCACGACAAGAAAACATAGGTGATATATATATTTTCCCCTCAATCTTCGTGGTCTTTTCCTCTTTTCTCTAAAACTTATTTTTTGCAAATTTGGTTATTAAAAAGCCACTCCCTAGCTTCATTACTTTCGTAGAAGCACATTTGTGTTGACATTAGGTTGCCACTGTGACAGAAATATTAATTATAGGATATGTAGAATGTGAAAGTAGAACCCTTTTTCCTATCTGAGAAAGTACTCAAGATGCCATTTATGGATTCAAAAAATATCCTTGAATAAGCGAGCCAGTGATTGCGATCAACTTGAGTTTGATGTGCAACTATCCAAATAAAAATGCCTGTTAATGTTTACAGCATTTATTTTCTGTGGCATGCCAATTGCTTTAATTTAAATGGCAATTATTTTATAGAAATTTAAATATGGAAGCCAGTTTACATTCTGTCGTCTCTCTTGCGATAAAAGTGAAAATCCAGACATCAGGAAATGTTCAATATTTTTCCTCGATCCATTATCCTCTTGCTTGTGCATGACTTTTATATTGTGGTCGATTTATGAATTTCTTGAATTATGCAAGGCAATCTTTGAAGCCTTCTTTGGCCATATAAAGATTGCATGACTCGGAACCCTTTCCAAGCCTGAGAATGACTCCATTGCCAATTGGTGATTTATATGCTGTCCCCACGGCGGGCAATTTGTGGAAGTGTGCCGCCGCTTGTGATTGAAAGAATTGCTTATTTCATTTCAAGAAGCAGACTCCATTATCATAAGTTATTCCTTATGTTACATAATATGGATACTTGATTTTGTCCTGCGTTCGATTTTTCTCATACAAGATATGATCTGTGTATACCAGATCCAGAGGATGAGGTTGACTACCAGAATCTCCGTAAAGCTGTGAAGGAGTACCGAGGAGCAATGATTGAATACCATAAAGCAGTATGTTGCCTTCTTTGTTTCTGTAATAGGATTTTTTTTGGGTCTCACCCTGAAGCAGTTGTATCTAATTTTTTGGGCCTTTCTTGAGTCTAAGGAGACTTGTTGCTTACTTGTCAGGCTGTTGAAGCATTTGTGAATGGGGACCGTGACAAAGCAAAGAAACTTCTAGATCAGGTAAAAAGGTCATAGACCAGTGCCAAAGGATAAAGTTCCCTCGTGACATGGAAGGCGCAGCATTTTTTTTTTTGGGCTAATATTTTCATCGTACTATTATTTAAGTTGAAGATATATTGGGTTATTATCATCATATCTCCGACATGAGTCTATAATATACTACAGTCGCTTAAAATATATCATTTTAATAATGTATTCTGTGGTGATGACAGGGACAAGTTTATCTCACAAAAGCGCGCGAAGCAGATGAAGAATCTAGTAAAATGATTGTTGAAACTAAGTTAGTGTCTTTTTTTCTAGAATATCCTTTGCCTGTTCATATGTTCTCTTCTATCATTGTTAAGGGGATCGACCTGAAAATTCTTCTTTTACTATATTATGTCTCTTGCTATATTTATTGGCAGGAATGAAGAGTCACAAGCACTTGTGCTTGACTTACATGAATTTAGTTCAGGGCAGGCCATACGTCTATTAAAGTGTCATCTGTCTACACTATCTGGTCCATGTGAGTTATGATTATGAATGCAGTCTACTGATTTCGTGTGGTCTCCTGGTCCTTTTTAATCTTCTAATTATTTATTTTCTTTCATTTTTTTTGGGGGAAAAAATTTGCTTATCTCTGGCAGCATTCGAGTACCTTAAGGTTATCATTTATGAAAGTAATCAAGATGTCTCTCAAGGTCCTCAATGTCAAAAAAGAAAAAGACGGGTAAGATCAGCTGAGTTCGTGTAATGTAATTTTAAAATATTATTACAGTTTTTGGTATTATGGTAGATAACATTTAAGTTGTATAGATGACATCTGGATCATTTTCTAATAATTATTATTGATGCGGCATTTTCTATTTCCTTTAAAAAAAATTGAAAAAAAAAAAAAAACTTATTCCCCTTGCTCCTTTAGTTTAATGGCTGCATATAGGTTGACCATCCTCCGTAGCTCCATTTTTTCCTGTGCATGATTAAAGAGAAGCTCAATCAGATGAACCTGTATGAATCTTATCTTTGCCTGTCATGTGTTTAGTCAGACAACGGAAAAGCTCAAACACTTACACACACAGTCCCTTTGTCTTGAAAGAACTGGGGAATATCAAAGGTTCTCCGATTTTCAAAGTCGCTTTACTTCTTAGTACTACGTGTGATATTGTCTAGCACCAGCGTAGGATGTTCAAGTTTCTTGATTAATCTTGTTGTAATTTCTTTCATGTCCTCTCAAACCAAAGTCTTTTTAATTTCAAGCATGGACTGTGTGCTCTGAAGCTTGAGGAGTGTCAGATTGAAATCTTGGCCTTCTGTTGACAGATGCATGAGCATTGCATTGATCCCTTTTTGGCTTGAAACCACAAATTATTAAATAAATATCAATAAATAGTATGATTATAATACCTAACAGCCATTGACTATTGCATAATTAATCACACACTTCTTATGTTTTGGACAGATCACGGCGCTTTTACAAAACGAGTCTATAGAGTGGAACGAAGGGGAGACTTCTGGCACACTCTTGATCAGATTGGATAAAATAGACCCGAAACGCCTGAGTTTTCACCAAAATAATGTGATCGTTGGAATCAAGCTGTTAAGTGCTACTTTAGAGTGATTGGTCTCAACTGCGTGAGACAATGACTGTGGTTTGGGTTTTATCATATTTGGAACAAAAAAGGGATTTGAGTGTGAGTTTTGGTATTTCGCCTTCTATTGTTGTCTGAAGTATGTGTAATGAACCTTTTGAATTATATGATGCTTATGATTGCTAACAATTTCTCCTTCCCTTTTCATGTTATTATATATTATTATGTGAAGCATCCCGCATCAAAATAAACAATATGACTTTATGCATATTTATGCTCGAAAAGACTTGAGTAAATGGACAATAAATTTATGCCTTTCAAACATGTGATCTTTTATAATTATAACAATGTCATAGCGAGAAGACCTCCAAAAACAAAAATTATCACACAATAACTATCTCATATCTGCTTATTGTGAAACCACCAAAAAAAAAAACAACAAAAACAAAAACAAAAGAAAGGCCGGTTACAAGATAAACTTGGATCAAAGGGTTACAACATAAACAGAAATTCGTAGCAATTAGGCAAATTCCAGAAAACAGCCTCACCTCTTGTTCTCGGGTTTTCGGGAGTTAAACTTATGAAAATATAAAAGATATACGTACCATCAAAGAGGAAGTTTGATAGCCAATCCCCCCGGCACTTCTGCATTCAGTGAACTTCCCAGTTATTTACCGCTCTCTTTGCTCCTTCTCCTCCCTCCTCAGTTCTCTCCATCTTACCGGGGAGAAGTGACGGTCGTTCAAAACACATGGTTATATCTTTAAACTTTTCACATTCAACGGAAAAGGTAATAAGTCGGCTCCTGATAACGAGACACACTTTACTGCATTTAGATAACTGACTTACAAATGATCCAATGAATATGACAATATCCATAATCCAAGCTTATCAGATCATAACTTCCCTCCTAAAACCCAATAAATTAAAGAGGATAAGCACGTTATTCTCCTCTCCCGTTTACTAATTCAAAGTTTTGTGAGTTCAACTTTCAATAAAGAGCTGGATACAGAGAATGCATTGATGCATATAGAAAATCTCCAATAGCGCAGAATCATGGTGAAGAAAGAAACTGTAACCCAGTCAAGGACCAGAACTAGGTCACTGTTAATTGGAGAATATGATACTTTGAAATAACATTGTTTGAAATTCGAAGGCAAATTGAATCCACCAATGGTGGTTTGCAAGAGATTAATGCAATTGGAGAATTGAGGTAGGTTTTGAAGTCTACGGCTTTCTCATATCAAGAATTTCTTTTGTTTTTTCATCTTCATCGATGTTATCTTCCTTCATACGATCTAACAGTCCATCTACTTCTTTTCCATGTCTTACATAAGCCTTGATGAGGGCGTGGTACATTCGTCTGTTTACCGGGACAAAATTTCTTAATGAGCCCACCAAAGCTTCTACTTCTTCAACACTTCCGTTATCACCAACCCAGCTAATTATCCCCGAGTACACCCTGGGATTTGGCTTCCATTCTTTATTTTCTGCCTGGAGGGCTGCTTTAAAGCAATCAAATGCTTTCTCCATCTCACCCTTACGAAGGTATCCACCTGCCACTTCAGTCCAGCTGTTTGACCTGGTCGCCTTCCCCCTCTTTTGTAAGCTTTTCAGCATGATTTCCGCTTTCTCGTGCAAACCTTTTTTCAAGTATCCAGTGATGACAACATCTGGGATGCGAGGATCATAACAATTGCCAGAGGACTCCCAGTCCTTCAATAATTTCTCAGCTTCATCCAGCTCACCAAGCCTTGCCAGAGATTCTAACATGGTTGTGAAATCTCTGTTTAAGCACCTCTTGCAATCACTCCTCTCCCGTTCCCATAATCTGATGACCTCAGTCTTGTCTCCAAGACGAGCATAAAGAGAGATCAGAAAATTGTAACCAAGACCATCCTTCTTATCTAGCCTCTCCTCTGCTTTCTTTAGGGCATCAACTGCCTTACTCGTAAGTCCTGCTTTTATATAGTAATCAGCCACAACAGTGTAAGTATTCCAGTCCATGACAATGTGAGATTGGTTTTCCATCTCTTTTAGTGTTCTTTCAATTCCATCAACATCAGACCTCACTCCAAAAGCATTGATACAGATTCTGTAGGAGAAATTGTCAGGCAAAACTTTGTTCTTTTTCATCTCGATCAGCACATCAGGGACCTTCTCAACCTGACCGGTGTTGGTGTATAGACACATGATATCATTGTAACTTAGAGGTGATGAAGCGAGGCCCAACTCCTTCATTTTCTGAAGATGGGAGAGGGCCTTCTCAGTTTGGTGCTGCCGTGTGTAGCAATTTAAGAGAGCACCATATGTCTTATTATTTTTATCTTCTTCCTTCAAGCTATTAAAATAGCCTTCAGCAGAAGGATATCCATGAACTTTGCCCATCAGATCCAAATGCACAGCATGTTCAGTAGGTGAAAATATGCATACACCATTCTTATTCATCCACTCAGATACCTGCACCGTCAAGTAGCACAATTTAAGGGATAGATACAAGTAAACAATGAAAATTTTAAACAAGTCTGAACACTATGGTTTCATATAAAACCATGTTAGTCGCATATAATGTTCAATATAGGAGTCTCTATATCAAACGTTACGCAACTCTGCCCAACTGCTCATTCATCAGATTTCACAACTCTGTACCATTTTAATAACCATATTGTTGAAGCACCACGATGGCCACAGTTTCCCTGCTTATTTTAACTGAATTGGTAATTTGTAGGTTTCAAAGTTAAATGATTCCTTCAAAAAATAAAATTGACCACAAATGATTTGTTATCAAATACTTATACATTTGTAAAAAATGAAACCAATTCCCAATGCTCTAACTGTTGGTACATGGGTTATCAGTGAATAGAATCCTAAATAAGGTTGTCCTAACTAATAACACAACCAACCAAAATTAGTCAGTGCCAAATAATTAATCTATCACAAAAACTTTGATCATTATAGTCTTCGTTTTATGCTATGCTTGGGAATCAGCCAAAAATTAGTATTATGCGGTGACTTTGAAAGAAGTTTAATGACCTCTAGGGCTTGGGTGAACCTCCTGCGCTTGCGAAGATCTCGAACGATGCGCTGAAGCTCGGCGACTCTTATCTTGTTCCCCTTATATACCCAGTCCTCGAGCTCAGGTACCACGCTGCTGCTGGGGCTCCCAAGCGGACTGATTTTATTGTAGAGACTGGGTTTCCTGGTCCTACTCGTGTAGTAGAATCTGCTCGCAATCGTACTTTGCGTCGCGATTCTTCGAAGAAGATTCGATTCCATGGCCAGGGTTGTCAACACTCGACAGTTTACTACACTGCTCCGGGACTGGAAACGGAAATGGTCGCCATGGGAGACAGTTCTTTCCCCCTTCACCGGGGTTTAGGGTTTAAGAATGGGCCTGAATCGGGTTTTTATTGGGCCGACCTAGTTTGATGGGTTCGGAGTTCAGATTATCATAGTAATAGGCGTACCAAACTTGGGCCTGGACAAGATGTTTATTGGGCCAATAAGGCTCATCGAATTCTTTCTCACATTAACCATATCAATTTTGTGGGCCTAAACAATGAGATATCTAGCCCAAAGTGGTGAAAACAGGGACATCTGGCCCAAAAACTACAAAAACCTGATTAAATTTAGTAAAATTGTGAGAACCAACCAAATAATTTTTTCAAAATATATATTCTATTGCATTTAAAGCTGATTTGTAATGGTAAATAAATTTTTACTCCCTCTTCTTTGCAATTCAAAAAATAAAACTAACACTCCCATAATATAACAAGTCTTCTTGACAAAAACTTTGGTCCAAAGACAGAGTAGTTAATGATGATTTTTTATTCTTACCTTTTGTTATTAAAAAAAAAAAACAGAGTGGTTTTTAAATATAGGGAAGAAATGATAAAATTTCAAAATCACATTATTTAATAAGAATAAACATACAATTTTTATCAATTTAAAATACATTTAATGATTTAACTAATATTTTTTATTTGTAAAAATATATAACCAACGCTTTATTGTGGATCGAAAGGAGTAGTTAAGCAGCTCTTATATTAAAGGTTAGAGGAGTGCGACATATCTTACACGTGGCTTCATGTTTGATATAATACTCATGAACTAACTAGGAATAACAATACAAAGACATTGAGTATTCAAATTCATGGAAATCAATATGCATTGCAGTGATAGGAGATGCAATTTTTGGGGCACACCCTCTTGTGTTCATAAATGTGAATCAAGGAGAGTGGTAACTTAATTTTGGTGGGGTGCCCATATATTGGGAGACACATTGCAACAACCTGCTTTGTAATTGTTTGAAATGGGCAATTTGTGATTGTAAATGCTGGTTCTGCTTCTTCAGCTCTTGGTTCTGCTGTAGCAATGATTCATTATTGTTATTATTATCACTATCATTATGATTGGTTCCCTCATCTATGGCTGCATTATTATTTTCTTCGGAACAAGATTTCAAGTATGGAGGGAAAACACTTGGCTCGCACTTCTTCCTTGTTATCTCCGCCAGCAACTTCTTGTGACCTCTCTGAAATTTCTCCTGCTTGAATTCCCATCTCTTTGATGACACTTTCTTAAACCCCTGAATCATCAACTAATATAAGTAACTTGAGCTCCAAGTAAGTCACATAAAAATTAATTTAATTAATTAATTATTTAAAAAATGTTTGCTGTTTTCTTAGAACTATCTATTTCAATTGTTACTTGCTTTGAAAATTGATACCTTGATAGAAAACACCTTAATACATATATATAATTAATTTAAAATAATTTATGAACACAATTTGCAAATTTGACGAGATATAAAATAACATGACGTCTCATATTTAAAATTAAAATAAAATCACTAGAGGGAATATTATACGTGTGTATACACTTTACAACATGAAAGAAGGGGTTAAGATTCTAAAGAACCTCAGTGATGATAATTTTCACACTATTTTAAATATGTAAAGCAAACCATGGAGAAACAACACTTTGCAACTATGCAATAAACCATCTACACGCAAACACACAAGTATATATAAGCTAAATTAACCAATGCACAAATAAACGTCAGAAACTGTCTCATATATATTTATCTACCATATACACGGGGATGACTAACTATCTATGTAAAGAAACTATTACATGATCTTATGCTTAACTCCAATATTATAGTACAAAAATAAATATGCAGCAATTAAAACATAAGCATATGACTCGAATCTGAAATCCAAATTGGTCACAAGAATTTGAGAAAAAAATGAGATTAATTAGATGATTTAATGATTGTAGCTCTATTATTGACAATGCAGCTTTGATTCTTACAATTAAATTCAGTTTGTAAAATTTGTCATGATTCTGATAATAGTTTTTTGAAGATTAATAAGCAAGAAGATCCCTTTTCTGTCATTATCTCAATAAGATCGTTTTAAAGTGTCGTTTTGGAAAAAGGTGGGCCAATCAGGCATTTCCTTCTAAGCATTGGAAGAGTAGAGAAGAAGAAACCCAAATAATCAATGCATCAAATTAATATAATGCATCTATAATCTGATGTAAGATTTTACATGAATTATAAGAAACATATTATGTCTTTTCTATGCAAAGAAATTAAGTGTTAAATAATGTTTTTACACAAATTCAACAATTTTTTAGAATTATTAATTATCTTAGAGATTTTATCCCTCATGTGTCCAATCACACCAGCCACATGTTTAAACTTCTTAAAAAGAATCCTCCCGCATGGGGGACAGAACAGTAGCTGTCAAAACCCTTAAAAGAATTGCACAGCAACCACTGAAACTAAAAAAAGGTCAAAAAGTACTCTTACAAGTGCATGTGCTTTGCTTTAATTATTTCAATAGACAGATTGCCTTGAGCAGCAAAAATTGAAAGAATCGTTTTTCTTTTTGGTGGTCAATGAATTCAAGAGTCACGTTTAATTTATTGATGGAGAGATGAAATTTCTTGAACACAATTTTGTTTGATCCCTACGCAAAATCATTTGACAATTACATCAAGATAACATAAAAATCTATAAATAATTATATTTAAATCCAATTTGCCACACAAGATTATGAGATGACAAATTAATCTACGATTTTATATTTGACCAAAGTTCAAGATATTGATCCTCATCATTCCCGAAAATAAAATAATCATCATTCATCATTCACATCAAAACTTAATTATATGTAAATCGGGAGCCTGCAGAAGCAACTGGCCTGGGGAAGGCGAAACCTTCTCTTCCAGTCTTCTTGATAGTTGGAGAAATTTTTTTTTTTTTTTATGGTTAGTTGGAGAAAAATTATTGCCAGAACTATTTACAGTGCAGAATATATCATCCATGCAAAAATGATAACAGAATAATAATAATAATAATGCTCATTTTTACCATTATATTTTTAAAGCATGTGAGACTATATAAAAATATATAAGATGTTGTATATTTCAAAATCAAAATCAATATAAAATATGAAAACTCTAAACTGTGAAACACTGAAACTCGACTCATTTTTCAAACTTCTAATAAATATAGGGCTCAAATCATAGTTATATGCACTTAAAATGTATTTCTCATATTATGTGAAGTGATTCATCAAATCTAGTACAAGACATGTTTTGATTCTGTAACAAAAAAATAATATAACAAAAAGGGGGAAAAAATACCAATCAGCTATATGAATTACACGGTACCAACGTAAAGAATAATCTAAACTTAGAAAATAGTTGGAAAGACGTACATAGGTGTTTAATTGGCGGATGAAGCTGGAGAAGTTATTGTGTTTGAAGTATCTGGGCAAGATGAGCTCTGAGAATTCTGCAGGACGCCACACTACGAAACCATCTCCTTCCTCGTTCCATGACACTATTGATGGTCTCTTCCTTTCTTCTTCTTCACCTTGATCCGCTACTCCGCCTTCTTCCACCAAATCATACGTCTTCAACAGAAACGGCGCCACACACCGTCCCCTTGGAGACTGGCCGCCGCCGCTGCCACTGCCGGAGGCCACAGTGGCTGCCGCGGCTGTGTTGTTGAGCTTTAGCTCCGTTAATCTTTCAGCCATGTTTGGAATACGTTTGGTATAATATATAGCTACCTCTTCTTTTTGCGTTGCCCAAACAGGTCCTTATTCCACACTCTGCTTATATAATATTAATACCACAACTTCCTAGTGTCCTCGGTGGTAGATGGGTAACTTCTAGCTAGCTAGTGCCGTGTATGGTGAGGCTGTTTTCTAATTGTTAATTATTTTTTCTTTTTGCTCTTGATTTGCTTAAAATTTTTATTTTTCTATTATGTTCCTCATGTCAACAGATGCAATCATACATTTGTCTAAATTATAAATAGAATAATTTATTTTTCATAAAAAAATACTATCTCCATTTCTTAATATAAAATTTTATTTGATTTTTATCTTGGTCCTAAATATAATACCCCAATCCATTTTTATATTATATCTATTCATTTTTTTAAGATAGTCCTTCTAATAAACTTGATTAACAAAGATATTTTGGAAAAGACAACACATATTTATTATAAATAATTAACTTAATTTATTTTTCTAATATATTTAAATTAGTCAACTAACTCTTATATTTAAGATCAGGCTAATTAGTTTATTTTTGGAACTCAGGAGTGTTTGGATAGAAACTAAACCATAGTTTCAGAAGTGCTTTTACGGATTACGAAGTAAATATATAGAGGAGGTTACCTCATTTTGCAGAAAAGTACTTCTGAAACTGCAGTTTTGAGAATGCCAGACACCCTCTCAGTACACGTACGTACACATTGCACGAGAGAAAAAGACGACCCACATTTACTAGTTCTTTGAATAATTATTTTTAATGTATCAAACTTGTTTTAATTTAGGGGTGCGCGATATTTTTGTGTTAGTCAGGGTTAGGAAGTTTCTCGAGTTGGCCATGTGATATAGTTTTTCTCCAGCGTGTTTGACCTTTGAATAAAGACCAAAATAATAGTTTCTATGTGCGTGTTGCTTACTATATTAAGATATATGTTCCATATAAAAATATTTCGTTAATAAATATTACCATATTATCGTTTTTAAATTTTCTAATTAAAATTTATAATGACAAGAGGTTCATATAATTTTAATTGTACGGCAATTAATTATACCACTTCATCAAGCTTTTTTTTTTAAAATTCAATTATTCAGAAACTTAAAAAAAAAGTAACATATTTTTATAAATTATAAGCGACTTAGGCAGCCACTTTAGAACAAAAAAGAGAAACTATACTAATAGTTCATGTGCTGAAGACTGGCAAAAAATTTAGATAATTAATTTCCTATTTGCATACATCAACACAAGACCTCATATTATGGATTATTAATTTAACTGTGTTGTCGTTAATTTACATCATCGCATGCGTTACCATTAGAATCAAAAGAACAGTAGTGGCCTTGTGTCTGCTTTGACTCCCCGAAAAATAACTACAAAGAATTTAAATTAATATTGGTTCTAAATTCCGTTAAAAAGCATATAATCCATATAAAAAGTCATTTTGATGAATTTTGTTTCTTTTTTTGAGTTGACTACTTTTTATGCATATATATTAGATTATTTTACACGTTTTAATGAAATTGATAATCCTATATAGAATTACTAGTGATCGCACTATATGTTATGGTTTTTTTTTTTTTTACATTGTAAACCACTCAATTCATTTTTTATTTGATGTCAAAAACACTCTTAAGTTAAACAAAGATATTATGCTCGTTTCCAAATGTTATGTCATTTCAAAAATATTAATTATTAACAATATCTATAGACTATAACAATATTGTTAATGTTACTTTTACTTTCAAATTAAATAAAACTGTCCATTTTCTATTTAAGAATGAAGTGTTGGAATTAGTTTATTATAGAACTTTAATTAATACTTTCATAATTTAGAAGGTTGAAAGAATAATGCGGGAATTAATGGGTCACATTATTACATTAAATGACTCCTCAAATAATTAAATATAAGAAGCCAAAACTTCTAGACATAATGCTATTATGCATGGACCGAGCTAAGTGAATATCATATAGTATTAATATTAGTCATTAGAAATATTCTCTCTATTTCTTTTTAGTTGTATCTGGAAAAAATAATAATTACATTTATTTGTCATTTTAAAATTTCAACATACGAGTGTATCATAAAAGGCATCAGTACATATCTCATACATGATTATAAAATTAGTTAAGCTAATTAAATAGGTAGCAAAATATAATTTTGTTTAGTTTTGGCCTTAATTATTGTGGAAGGGTGTGGAAAAAATTAGTTTTGTTTGGTGTGGCACCATCATTGACTCTAATTGGTGGATCATTTATGTGATTAGTTTTTTCTCTACCACATGCTGTTCAGTTTGTCGCCACCTCACCCACTCTTAATGCCGAAATTAAGTTTTAGAATAATCTCATCACAATAATTATACATGACATGTTTTTTTTAAAAACCAGAAAAAAAAAGATACACTAAAAATAAACTCCTTACAATCTTTATGTCAATTAGAAAGTATTCTTGATCATTTTTATAAGACACTCGTTGATATAAAAGAACATTAAATTTTTTTTATATGTACCCAGAGTTAATAAGGGTAATAGGAGAGAGTAAAAATTAATATAATATTTGAGTTTATCATAGTTAATAAAAATAATATTAAAAATCACTTGAATTTTATGAAAAATGTAATGTTTTTAACCTTTTTTTATTAGTAAATATAAATTAGTTAGAATTGACTTGCAACGAGGGTTGGAGAGAGTACTTCTATATTTTTATTTATAAGTCATTTCAAAATTATTTCATTGAAATTAAGAAAAAATTTTAAACTTAGTTTTATGGATATGTATTGATAAAATAGTTATAAATTTTTGCACATAACTATCCGAGCAAGATGAAAGTGGACTGAAATGAAGTATGGAGAAGGAAGATAGGTAATGGAATGAAAGGGAAGCTGGTGGAAGCATTGATTTGACTATTATGCATATGGGTTAGGTGTTTACCTATTGCATCAAGACAAATTGAATTGCATCATTTATATGTTGTCCCTATAAAAATCATTAAGTTGACTCTTCATTACAAAAAACTCAATCACCTAAGAATATATCCACTATTGTACGATATCCATTTTCATACCAATTAATTAAAGTCAAGCTTAGGTTATGTTGGGGCTCTGGTAATAAAGTCTGAGCTGAATTGCATTTTAGCTTTGAACTGTTTTCAGAACGCGCCCCCCTTCATATCCGGTTGCTGTGGTGTAGTGGTTATCACGTCAGTCTTACACACTGAAGGTCCCCAGTTCGATCCTGGGCAGCAACATCATCTTTTCGCTTTAGTTTCTTTTTTAAATTCTTTTTGGTTTGGGCCTTTTCACTTTCGGGTTTATCAACGGCCAATAAGTTAGGTCCATCTTGCCGCTGACAATAATTAGGTTCAGTGAAAGAAATTTTATTTATTTGTTTAAATATGGTCAGGAGTTTGAATTTTATAAATAAACCTGACAATATTTGATAATATCATATACAACGTAGTTGTATTTCAAAAACAATAATTTTACATTTAATTGCCACAATACAAATATTATATTTCTTTCTTCTTGTCTCTCTGCAATTTTCGCTTGTTTACATTTCCATTAACAAATAAACAAAAAAGTTACTATAACTTTTAGTCCTCAAATTTGTCTTCATTCTGATTTTAATCTTTCAAGTTTTAAACTGTAAGTTTTGGCACATTGAGAGGCAAAATGGTTTAAATTTTTATTAGATTATATGTAAATGAAAAGAAACTTGATAGGCCAAAACTTATAGTTTGAAATTTGAGAGACTGAAACTAAAATGATGATAAACTTGAAAAACTAATGTTTACATTCATGCAAAACAAAATAAAAACAACAAGAAATCAAACCCTATATAATTTATGATGAATATTGAATGAGACCAAAAATTGCTAAAATCTTTCCTTTGGTCCAAAAGCAGCTGAAAGTATTGAAAACAAACGCAACACCCGGACCTAACAAATCTAACACTAAGAGCTCATATATAAATATAAATATATATAATAGCAAACTAACACCAGGCATATTATTGCCAGATTCCATGGACATAGCAGATATGGCCTACTTGTTGGTAATGAATTATGTATGCGTACGTACATGCATACAATATTCATTAATATTACCAAATATTACACAATTATTTCAAAGAAATAATTACAAGATGATGGTTGCTATTATAAAATTGATAAAATAAACACAATTCGAGTCCAATGCAATCTCATATTCCAAGATGAAAACGACCAAATAATTGCCAAAATCTTTCTTTAGTCCAAAAGAAGCATTGGGAAAAGAAAAGCAACACTCGGACTTAAGACCGGAAAGGAGTCATAATATTTGCCGGGTTCCTTGAATCTAACATTGCTGGGTCCTACCGATCCCCCATCCTCCAGTCATCGCATGCGTCCTCTGGGTCCTGGTTGGTGGGTTGGAAGAACAGGTGGATGTTTTTACGCTCCCTCCAATTAAAAATATTAGCATGAAATAACTGTAATTTTAAAAATTGGTTAAAGATAATATATACTACCTCCTGTTTTAATATAAGACTTTATTTGATTTTTATTTCAATCTTAAATATAAGATCTCAATCTACTTTGTTTGTCATATTTATGTATTTTTTTTTAAAAATAGTTCTTCTAACAATAGTAATTTTAACTAATATGCACGATTGGCAAGGATATTTTAGAAAAGACAACATATATTTATTACAATAACTAACTTAACTTCTTTCTTTAATCTCCTCAAATTAGTCAACTAGCTTTTAACTTACTATTTTTGGTCCTAATTATAAGACTTCATTTACAGTCTACAAATAAGATTTTATAATTAGAACCGGATGTAGTATTTCTCTAAAACACCTTTATTTATGAAGAGGGTAAATGGAAGAGACAATGAGTGGAAAAAAAAAAAAGAGAGAACAAGTGAAAAAAAGATATGAGAAAGAGATATAATTAATTAGGGATAAAAATGACAAAAAAATTAAATGATTAGAGAAATTCAAATTGTATCGTATAAAAAAACAAAGCCCATTTAAAGATTTATGGGTTAATACCCTCT